GTCACATTCAAAATGACTGAGCAAGTAGAGTAATGAATCTGCATCTAATTTTGCATTAAGCTTGAACATTTCCCCACAGAAACTATTGGAATAATTCAGAAAGCCACAGCTATAGGCAAACAGTGATTGGCAGCTTCATCACCACAATATGCCCACATCTTGTGCAGAGCTTTTTGGTGAAACATCAAACACCCAGATGACTCAGCCTCCCTACAGCCCAGATTTGGCACCCTGTGATGTCTGGCTTTTCCCAAAACGAAAATCACCTTTGAAAGGGAAGAGATTTCAGAATGTTGATGAGATTCAGGAAAATACAATGGGGCAGCCGATAGCAATTGGGAGAACTGTGTGAGGTCCCAAGGTGTCTACTTTGAAGGAGACTGAGGTGTCATTGTCCTATGTACAATGTATCTTGTATCTTGTATCTTCTTCAACAAATGTGTCTATTTTTCATATAACATGGCTGGATACCTTCTTCCTCACCCAAGAACATTTTTTTCCCATTGTTTTTAGAGAGAAAGGGAAAGCGAAGTGTCAATGTGAGAGAGAAACATCAATTGGTTGCCCTTCATACATGCCCAGACTGGGAATCAAACCTGCAATCTTTCAGTTACAGGATGACACTCCAACCAATTGAGCCACATAATAGGCCACACAGTAGGGCTGTCTTTCTCATATTCCTGACACTCTACCAGTCTGTCATGCCCAGCCTTCTTCCCTCCCCAGGAAAAAAAAATTTCTGTCCCTGTTGGATTTAATCTTTATCAGATAAAGTCCCAGATTCTCTACTCTGCTCAAATCATTCAAATTCTAACCAACAATGTATAATATCTTTTCCCCTTTTTTAATGTTCATTTACCTGAGATTATGTTTATTGATATGAGAGAGAGAGAGGGAGGGAGAGGGACATCAGTGTGAGAAGCAATGGCAGGTTGCCTCCCATGTGCGCCTCAACTAGGGACTGAACCCACAACCTAGTTATGTACCTTGACTGGGAATCAAACCCACAGCATTTTGGTGTACAAGATGATGTTCCAACTAATTGAGCCATGTGACCACGGCAACAGTGTATATTGTTCTTACTTTCATGACCCTACTGTATCCAGAACCCCTATACAGAGAATGAAAGAACAGTATCTTAATAAACTTTTCCAATATTGTTGCTACTGGAAATCAACTTTCTGATCACTGGATCTGCTGTAGATAGCCAATTACAATAGCACCCCCACCTCAGTTTCAACCTACAGCCCTCAACTTGAATCTAATTTTAGTACTGGGGTCCCCAAAGAATTTTAAAAAGGCTAATTCTTTTTTTTTTTAACCTCCCTCCAATTCTCAGTGACTTTCCTGGCACTCACCTCACTCTGGTCATGAATCAGACTAAGTAGCTAGTCAGTTCAGATGCTCTTCTGCAAGGATCTTAAAGAACCCTGTTGTCATTGTGTTGTGTCCACCAAATGTATCAATAAGCCTGAACTAGATGACTCTGTCCCATCTCTGACATATCCAAAAACTTTTTCTAACAGTGTTTCCTGTATCCCTAATCTGACACACTGGTGCCCACTAGTCTGCATGGGCCAACCAGACACCTGGGAGACTAATTCTCAAATTGACCCCTTGAACACTGGCAGCTGCTACCAGCAAGGAGAAACTTAGAGTAACTGGAAACTCCTTTACCAGATCCCCACAGCACATAATAGCACCCTCCTAAAAGGGAGACCCCTCTGCCCCCTGACTGCAAGGGTGACGCCTACTGGGATCCAGCCCTATGAGCTTGGTTTTCAAAAACATTTCCCCAGTGGCATGTGCTCCTTGTGGGTGTCTCTTCCTTTGTGGTATCCCAAAAATAGACTACCTCACGATAGCAGGCCTTATATCAAGTTCCATCAGCCATTAACTGCAATAGCCTACTCTTGTGTTGACAATACACAGTTGCAAGGCCAGCTGCACCTTAGGTTTTCTTGGCCCTCAAGGGATTTGTCACTGTTCATAATGCCACTTACCCTTGCAATAAAAGGGTCATTGGTCTCATTGTAACTGGCATAGTGGCAGCTGTCAACCTAGCAGCCCCACGGGGATGATTTGCCTGTCATGAAGCCCTGTTAAGAAATTTAACAGGCAGTATAGCTGCTCTAGAAAGTCCTGGGGATGCCCTCAAAAACTTACAGTGGTCTCTAGATTCGCTTGCTAACATGCAAGATAATAGATTAGCCTTTGATTACTTACTAGCAAGAGAGGAAGGGGAAAGCACAGTCATAAACAAAACATCCTGCATTTACATGAACTCTTCAAGTCAAGTAAGGGAAGACATAAAAAGAAATGTATGACCAGGCCTCATGGATTCATCACTTTGGAAAGGGGAACCTTCTGCCAGCTCAATCTGTGATTCTGTGAAGCCTGCTCTCCCCTCCATTACCTGGTTTTTACCCCTACTTGGACCTCTAGTAGTTATAGTTCTCCTCCTCATATTTGGACCATGTCTTTTTAATCTTCTTATCAAATTTGTCACTTCTAGAATATAGTAATTTCACACCAAGATGATAATGCTTCAGGGATTCCAGCCCACTTTAGAAAAATCAGCTCACAACCTCTCCATTCCAGTCTTGGATTCCATTCCAGTCTTGGATTCCATTCCCTTGTTTCCCTTAGATCAGGCAGGAAGAGACTTCCATACCCTGCACAGGCAGGGACCATGACTCTTGTCAGCAGGACGCAGTTAATGAAAACATCCTTCTCCCTTATCACCCCTAAAAGATTTCAGGGATGGAAACCTCTGAGGGGGATATGAGGCAGGTTGGTAAGAAGCTAGGAAGATTCCTTGGCAAGTGGAATGGGGAAACTGAGATGGATAGCTGAACAGACTCTTTGAGTAATCTATAGCCAGATAATAAGTCACAAGATCTCTTCCCTAACCAAGGATACTTAGGAGCAAATGGTTTACATATTGCAGATCATATTAGGACAGACCCACCTCAGTCCTGGTCCCTTTTCAGTGACATTCTTTGAAGGTGAAACTGACAAGAGAATGACCCTGGCCCCTCTATATGCTTCAGCATATTGAAGCAAACATGATGTGTGCTTCCAAGCAGTCCTGGAACACTGGTGAATATTCTATTGGAATCCTCCTCTAAAATTCTCCCCTTTGGAAAACAAAAAAACCCCTCAAGATAAAGCAAGCCCACGTACTATCTCTCCAGAGTATGACCATGTCCCCCTTTTCCTCAGGCATGCACCCTTGCTTTCTTTCTCCTTAGCTCTAAGGATCCCAGTGAGGCTGGCCACCAGGGCAGCAGCAGGCAACAGCCCCTCCTCAGGGGCTAACCCCCTGAATCTGTCTCTTAGCACCCTTCTTTTGTCTAACTTTACACTGAGCCGAAAAAAAGCAGTCCAGTCTAGGCTCACTCCTATCACTGTGATCTTGCCTCTTCTTTAAGCTCTTCCTCTGCTTCACTTTCCTGAGCTTTAACACACACTCTAATATCACCTAGCCTTGGGTTGTGGAATCTTGCCCGCACGAAGTCAAGAACCCACACGTTCCAGACCATGCCAAGGCAGACCCACCTCAGTCCTAGTCCATTTCTGGTGACAGTAATACACCCCTAAACTGCATGTTATTCTAGGGTCAACTGTATTAGGTTAAACCACATGAAATTGCAGGCATTTGACTCTATATCCTATAAAATGGCACTTCCATATGGTTCAACCAACTATCTCATTTCATTCTCACTACGTGAGCCCCATTAATTAGGTATTATTGTCCCCACTTTACAGGTGTAAAAACTTAGAAATGAGGTCTAACAGCCAATGAGTACTGAAACAAAGATTTAAACCCTGTCAGTCCTTCCTGAAGAAAACTTTACTTGAGCCAAACTTTTGAGGACACCCCCAGAAGCAAGTTTTCAACAGATTGAGAAAATGTTCTGGTAAATGATGGTTTTACAGCTTATTTTATACATTTGGAATCAAGGGAGAAAACATAAAGAAGGTTACATGAGGAAGGTTACATGAAATCTAGTGATAGATTAGAGAAGCAGGAGAAAGCAAAGTGATTAGATGTTTAGGATTAGAGGAAAAGTAAAATGGAGAGAGACTGGTGGGTACAGGAGAGTTAGCATTTAACATTTACAGTGAATAGTTATGGTATGTGAGCAATAAGGTAACAAAGGAATTTTATAGTCTTCACGTTCTAGTGGTCTTGTGCTCTGGTGCCAGGAGTTGTGCCTCCTTGGGGTTTGGAAAAGAAAATTACTCTTGACATTTCAAGGGTATGTTATCCTAGATGCCTAGGAACAATGGACAGGGCTCACTTAAGATAATGATTGACCTGCCATGACCCACGCAGTTACGTCTTCATGATCAGACCCCTGTGTAACCAGGTCACTGAGTTTGCCCAGCCAGCCAAGTAGCCTCCTGAACTTTCCCATCTACTACGTTGCCCCTTTTCTTCACAACCCCACTGTCTGAATTAGAAGGTCAGAGTGCTTTCCAGAACACCGCAGTTGCAAGACGAGTCAATGCATTAAACTTAAGACTTTAAAAACCCCGAGGTGTTTGACTTCCATTACAAACCAGAGATTCTTAGAAACAACAGAGCCTCAGGAGGACCTTATCAATCTCCAGCTGCTCGCCTGACTTCCCACGCCCAGAAGCAGCCGCCCATCGCGCTCCTTTTTTATTCCTCCCAACCGCACGGGGCGCCAAATACCAACGTCTCTTTTGGAGGGACCTCCGCTCACCCGCAAGGTCCCTCTTGTCCCACGCACCCGCCCAGATCCGCGGCGCAGAACCCTCCCCCACCCCCGCCCCGCCAAACTAGTCGCAACCCTCCCACCCTACAGCACCGCCACCCACCCAACCAGCCAGCACTGCGCAGGCGCTGGAACCCGGCATCCGGAGCGGTGGCGTGCCCAGGGGCCAGCCCGGTGTCTGTTGGTCCGGAGCGGCCCACGTGGCCACAGTATCGCCGCAAGCGCGTGCGCAGAGTGGCTCAGCGCGCCCGTGACGGAACGACGAGGCGTGGGGAAGTGCGACCTCGCCCTCCGGGCCCGGCCCCCGCCCCTTGGCTTGCCGCTCCGCCCCCGCGGGGCGTCCCGGGCCGCTAGTTCCCCCAGCGGTGGCCGTGCGCGGCCCGGGGTCGCCGTAAGTACTCGCGAGGCCTGCCGGTGAAGCGGCTGCCGCGGGGAGGGGAGGGGTGGGGTGTGCGAGGCCTGCCCCGCCTGCCGGGGTGAATGAAGTGAGGGGCCGGGACAGGGTGGCCCTGAGGGGCCGTTATAGGCTTGACAGGCTTCGCTCAAGGCCGGGCGGTGGGAAACACAGAGCGGCAGGGAGGTTCTTCCCCGGGAAGCAGGTGTTGGGTGTTTTGGGGGTCTGTGAAGGAGATGAGAGAAGAGCTCTAATTGCTCCCCGAAGGGAGGCCTCGGAGCCTGACCTGGAATCGCGGGTGGCAGCTAGTTTTTTTTTGGGGGGGGGGGCGGTGCACACCCCGTCCTCTTCCTCCGCTGGGTAGTTGAGATAGCACTGGTCTGCGAGAATGGCCCCTCTTGGGTTCTTCTCCGCACTCTTTGTTCTTTCGGAGAAAGGGGCACTCGATGCGGAGCAGAGTAACCTCCTTTCCCAGGACCGCAAAGCTGGGAGCCAAACCCAGAGCAGAAACTAGGTGTAAAGTTATCACATCGAGAAGCCCCTGTGGACCAGGGAAAGACCCTTGTGATCCAGACTTGAGACTTACTTACATTCGGCCTATTCCTATGAAATATCATAAAGCGTCGTATGTTAGCTGCCATCATCCAAACTAAACTCTGAGCTGAAGAGACACCTTTCTCTGGGCACTGTTCACACAGTCTATGTGGCCCAGCTTCTTTTGAAAGGATCCCTCCTTTTTTTTTTGTTTCATTCATTAAGAGCTCCTTAAATTAGTTAAAACCACATCACATGAAGATTGGATGTAATTAAGACCTGTCAAATATGCTTAAGTCCCAGTTCAACTCTATTTCTAAGCAAGTTGCTTGGCCTCCCTGCACCTGAGTATGTATAACATGAAAACTTTGAAATAGGTTGTCTTTCATGTGTATTTCTCTTGAAAAATGTTTGTGAATTTTATTATCGCTCCCATTTCCCCCCTCTTCACCTTTTAAGCCTCTTCTCCATCTCTTGAGAGGAATGGGCAGTGGCAGTAAAAGGTGGGAGTACCTTTCACTGAAACAGCCTAGTTTGAAAAAGATGGTAGTCTCTGAATTGTCTCTTCCCTGGACAAGAAAAATTCTCTCTGAACTACCTTTTTCTCCTTGTGTTAACAGCAGAAATCAAGCAACAACAGCTCTTGGAGAGAGGCTAAGTGTTTCTTGACTTCTATAGTGACAAAGACCTGGAGAAAGTTGGTACTTCTGGCCTACTCTGCCATCATCCCACCACCCAGTCCAAGACAGCCTGGGCTGGACACCAGTGCCTCCTTTGTTCTCTGTGATCATCAAGATTAGCATTTGACTGTTTATTTGTAAGTCTCACAGACCCAGCCCTCAGATCTCCATATTCTGGTTCTCAGCTGCTCTTGAAGGTGAATGGAGTCTTGCTTTTTAAACTCATTTTTGTATGATTTTTGTCTATGTGTAGGTGCATTTAGGTGCTTGTATGTATTCACCCTTTGGCTTAGGTATCCAACAGACAGTTCGTTTGTTCGTTCGTTTGTTCATTCATTCATTCATTTAATGAGTATGTGTTGAGAGACTGGCAATAGAGGCAGTGAAAAAAGTCAAAGCTTATGCCACCACAGACCTTACCATCAACCAACAAACATTTTGTATGTCAGAGCACGGTAAATGCTGTGAGACAAAATAAAGCAGGGAGGGGAGGTAGAGTATGCTGCTATATATGTGTTGGAGTTTTGCTGCTTTATATAGGATGGTCAAGGTGATCTTAGAGCAGAGATTTAAAAGAATGAAGGAGCAAGCCATGTGGATATCTGGGTGAAAAGCATTCCAAGAAGGGGGAACAGCAGGGACAAAGACCCTGTAGTGAGAATATGCTTGGTATGTTTGAAGAATAACAAGAAGACAGTTGTGGAATCTTAGAGGTAATCTTCCTGTTCACATTTAGAGTTGACTTTTTAGGGAGAGCCCTTGCAAGAGTCCAAGAGTAACCTCTGATTTTTTAAAAAAACTTTTTATTATGAAATGTTCCCACTATACACAAAAGTTGAGACTATAAGAAACTCATGTACCCTTTACTCAGCTTCATCCATAATTGGTATTTTGCCACATTTATTTCAAATATCCTCCTCCTCCCCCCTTTTTGTGTTGGAGTAGTATTTTAAGGCGGATCTCAGATATCAGGCTATTTCATCTCTGAACACTTCACTTGCAATTTCCTTTTGCATATTGTTTTTGACAAGTCAGGCAGCGCTGCTGGCTGAGGGACTGCTGTGCTGTTTGCCCTGACATTGTGCCTTACGTCCCCATCCTGGGTCAGTTACCAGGCTCAAGTTAGTATCTGAGAAACTGACCACAGGCTGTTGGAACACACAAGGATTTAGAACCATGCTTCTCAAATTTTATGCATCAGACTAACTTGGAGGGCTTGCTAGAACACAGGTTATTCAACTCCATCTCCGGAGTTTCTAATTCAGTGTCTCTCAGTAGGGGTCCTCAAGTTTGCATTTTAAACAAGTCCTCTGAGGGTACTGATGCTGAAGATCTGCAAAGCCTACTCAAGAACCACTGGTCTAGAACCTAAGGTCCAACAGAACCATGTTAGAGACCAAGAACCCCTCTGTTTAATGTTGGAGTGGGTGAGACTGAAATACATGCAGAGCCAGGAAGTCCTAGAACAGTGGTTCTTTTTTAAAGGACTAAGAGTTCATAGTTTTTTGGGTTTTTTTTTTTTTGAGCATTTGTTGGGATCGTTGTATTTTTAATTTGGGGAGTAGCTTCCAAGATGAGTCCAGGGCATTATTTTGGCCATAACAGGTCAAACTGTGTCTACCAGAGGGTGTTCAGTATTGTTGAGGACTTTTTAAGTTAGGTATGATTGTCATATAAAGGCTTCTAGTGATACTTAAGCTTAGTAAGAGATAATGACTCAACTTGGGGAGTAATTAGGAGTTAAAAACTCCCCCAAAAGCTGATTCTGATGGATGTTAGTACTGTGAAAAATGTTCCAAATGAACTGATAGAGTAGCATAAGCATCTGGTCCTGCCACTGTTGCTTTTGGTTTCAGCATTGATACAGCGTTCTGAACTGGAGCAGGGACTTGCTCCAATCCCCACTCTTGAGCTTAAATGAAACAGTAGTGTCTTATGGTTCATTATCTTTAAAGAACTATGTGTACAAGTGTGTGTACATGCATGCAAGTATGTCTCTATGCACAAGTATCTGTACATATGTATAATAAAAGTGTCCATAAACATGTGTCTGGGTATAAACCACCAGCTTTTCAGTGGTGATGAAATCAATTGTTGTCTACTTTTCACAGGACAGTGACTTGTTGCCACCACCACAGCAGAGCCTGCCATCCCCAACGGATCTCCAGTCAGCCCCTGACATCACCCCCTCCTTTGCCTCCCTTTGTGGCCTCCTAAATGCCCACCTTGTTGGCCTGGGTTCAGCTGGTGGTATGGAGGGGTGCTGCCTAGCACTGACCTGGGAGTGTGTGTGACCCATTGACCCAATGGTGAGGACTGACTGCCCACCTCTGCGACTGATCATCCAGGGGGTAGATGGGATAAAGCAGACCTTATTTTTTCCTGGTGTTTTCCCTCCCACCATTTTGGAAGGTAGAGTGGCTCTTTGAAGTTAGAGGAAGGAGAAGGGGCATGGAAACAATATTACTTGGTATATGTATAGGGGGATTTTCTTGGGAAGGAAAGGGATAGAAAGGGAGTGAAGAAGCAAGGGAGTTTAGGTATGCTTTGGAACTGCTTGGGGTCCCTAAATAATCCTAGAAGTGCTAGCTTATACTAGACCCTAGATATACCTAGAAATCAACTTTGACATTGAATTGTTCTCCGTCCCTTCCCACTCTGGCTACCAGATCCTCAGTTATACTTGACATTTACGAAGGCCAAGTTCTCTACTGGTTTTCTCCATCCCACCAAGTTGCAGGTAGGCCATGGATATGATCAGATTTAGGAAGAGATTTAGATGCTTCCAAAGGGTGAGGTGAAGGAAATAAATGGATTAGGGACTCGATTATTGCTATCCCAAGGGACCTCCCCTTCTTTTGGGGGATCTATTTCCCACCCTATCACCCCACTCCATTCCATGGGGAAACAGATCAATAAAGGGTTGTGTTGTTATTTCTCATTATTAGGACATCAAAGGCCAGTTTTGGAATGATGATGATTCAGAGGGAGATAATGAATCAGAGGAATTTCTCTATGGAGTTCAGGTGAGATTACAGCCCATAAGATCCATGTTGGATGATTGAAATTAACTTCTCTCTGGAAACATCAAGAGTGAAAGCAATTATTCTGGACCAGAGATACAGTGTTGGTGTGGTCTCAGCATTGTCTTGTCAGAGCTGCTATATCCTTGTTCTTGCCTGGGATTCATACCTTTCCCAGTGTAAACTACATCCTCGGTATAGGGGGCTACCCATGTGTTCTTATTTGGAAGTAATTATTTTCTGATTTTTCACTAACTAGCCAGAGAGGTCATTCCAATCATTAGGGTAAATTTTTGTTAAAAATTACCCTGCCAGTGATTGCTTAATGCCATCACTATCCAAGGCACAATCCTGAGCAGGAATGTTAGACTCTTAAGGCAGAACCAATCTGAGTTCTGCCTTAAATTCTGTACTCTTCAGTCTGTTCTAAGTTCTCATAGAAGGGACATCTATGTATTCTGGTCAAAATCGGAGAGGAAAAGCTGAGGCTTAAGGATGTGAACTTCCGCAAAACCTGCAGTTGATCTACTAAAACGTCTTAGGGTGGTGATGTAGGGAGACTTGTCTGTCGATGGAATCCCCAGCTAGGGCTGCTTCCAAGAGCCCCTTTGTATACATAGCCTTTTGCTACATGTCCTATTGCTGCTTGATTTTTCTGTTCCTGGTGTTTCTTCTTTTAATTTTTATCCTCTCTTTAACTCTCTGTCTTCCTTCCCACCCCCTGCTGTTTTGGCTGCTGATTCAGGGGAGCTGTGCAGCTGACCTATATCGACACCCACAGCTTGATGCAGACATTGAAGCCGTGAAGGAGATCTACAGTGAGAACTCTGTATCCATCAGGTGGGATTCCACTTCAAGGGTGGCAGGGGAGCAAGCCACTTTTTTCTAAGCTGTTAAAAGGCTAGAGGTTTTTCTTCTTATGGTATGTTAGGAAATGTGTGAACACTAATAAATTTAATTACAACCTTAATGATACTGAGAGTTGCTCAGAGCACCTAAGTGTGGCTAACAGGAGAAAGTAGGGAAGTATAGCCACTTTTCTTAGAAATTCCCTTTTGTCCTCCTAGACCCCTTTAGACTGATAGTTTCACCTTTAAGGTAAGAAGGGCCTCTGGCCTGAAGAAGGCCATGATTATTAGGTGGCTTGAGACTGTAGCTAAGAACCTAGGTACAGAGTTACCTTTTTGCCATTCCCCCTCCCCTGGCCCCAGGCTCAGTTCTCCCCGCACTTCAGCCTCTGCTCCCTTCTTTCTCCCTTAATGAGTCTCACCTGTGGTCGCCTGTATCTCTGTAGAGAATATGGAACTATCGATGACGTGGACATTGACCTCAACATTAACATCAGCTTCCTCGATGTAAGTGGTACTAGTGCTTGCCAATAGCATATCTAGCTGGACTTGTGGATTTTGTAATGTTGGCCCGGAGTCTTGTTTTGGAGTACTGTATTTGGAGCACATACTCTCTATCCCTGTCTTTTAGATCATAAGCAGACAGTGGTGTGTACTGCTGTGTGCATGTGTGTGTCGTGTAGGGAAAACGTCCAGCCTGTTTCTCTGTGTTGCTAAACTGGAAAATGTCTCCTTTACGCTTTTAGGAGGAAGTCTCTACAGCTTGGAAGGTCCTCCGGACAGAACCTATTGTGTTGAGGCTGCGATTTTCTCTTTCTCAGTACCTTGATGGACCAGGTAAGGGCAATGACTTTAGCCAAGTATGTTCTCTGTGAGCAAATCCAAAGTCCTAAATTAAGTAAAATAGAAAAACTAGGAGCAAGGACCTTCAACATAATCTGCAGGCCATTAGTAGGGGCTTTTCAGTCTCCTCTGACTGCTGTCTTCATTTCCTCTCACCTGATAGCAATCCCCTCAAATCCTTGGTCAATGAAATTGTTTTCTTTGGTTCCCAGGTATTATTTACTCCTCCCCTTCCATTCAGCTTCCTCATAGAAGTTGAGAATATTTGAATTGGTCAGTCAGCTCCCAGAATCTACCCTTTGCCGCATATGTTTTCCTTCTCCACCACTATTGTTTAGAGAACCGTTAGAATCTGAAGAAGCTAGTTCACTGAGCTAGAGCTTTGGACTCCCAAGAGGATACAGACATGTACATACTAGGAACTTTCTCTTCTCTTTGCAGAACCATCAATTGAGGTTTTCCAGCCATCGAATAAGGAAGGGTTTGGGCTGGGTCTTCAGTTGAAAAAGTAAGAACTTTGATCTTTCTGGATATGGACATATGTGATGGATAGGCAAATGGAATGCTTTTGTTTGTTTGTTTGTTTGTTTTTTCAAAAATGTCTTTCTGAGATATGTCCAAGTAAAAATAAAATAAATTTGGGGAGCCAAATTTATGGTTAGGCAGTGGAGCCTGTGGTTCCGGGGTGCCTTGAGGCATCTTGAAGGTAAAAAGATAGGTTCTCCCTGGCTGGTGTGGCTCAGTGGATTGAGCACTAGCCTCCAAGCTAAAGGGTCGCTGGTTCGATTCCTGGTCAGGGCACGTGCCTGGGCTGCAGGCCAGGTACCCTGTTGGGGGCATGTTAGAGGCAACCAACTGATGTTTCTCTCCCTCTCTCTCTCCCTCCCCCTTTGTCTAGAAAATAATAAATTAAATCTTTTTTAAAAAAAGAGAGAAGAATATATGTTCATTAGTATTTAATATTTAAGGGAAAGTACAACCCTGGAATTAAAGCCATGCTCTTCACATTTCCTCTTGTAGTTTTTTTAGAGTGGGGCCTAGGAGCTCAGATAGTTTCAGTTTATTGAATGTGTTGAGCACCTTGCTAAGTATTTGGTATACAAAGAAAAATGAGCTACAGATTCTACTCACTGAATTCCAAATAGAATCCAGTGGATACATGTTCTAATATAAGGGAATATGTAAGTTTTAGAAAGAACACAGAGGAAGAGTGACTCAGTCTGTGGCAGGCAGAGGACAATGAATGAATGAATGAATGAAAGGGAGATGATTAATGGTTTTCAAGGATAGATAAAAGTTGCCTGTGTAGACAGACTCTAAGAGTGAATAACATTTGCTAGGGTACAGTAACATGAAGTAGCATATACATAGGAAGCTTCAAGTAGTTAAATATTGCTATTAAAATGCAAGGGAAGAGTGGTAGGAACTAAAGCCAGAGAAGTAGGAAGGGATCCAAATCAGAGAGGATCTTGGCCTTTTATATTGTAGGCACTGGGAACATTGAAGGCTTTTAGGCAAAGAGAAGACATAATTGGTTTAGTTTTAAAAACATTATTCTGGTAGCATTGTGCAAAATAGGTAGGAGGATGTTAGACAAAGAAAATTAGTTTAGCAGGAGGCTTTTGTAGAAGTCCACACATGATATGATGAGGACCCGCACCAAAATGTGGCTGTAGATAAGAATAGAGATGAGACACACTGGAGAGGTTCATGAGATGTAAAACCAATAAGACTTCTCTTTTGGCTCTCTGAGCAGCACCATGGTGGTGGGAAAGAATAAGTGCCTTATAAAAGACGGCAGAGAAGAAGCCAAGGGGAAAGTGGTTGATCCATTTCCTAAGAAAGATTGGTGTGATGTGAAAGTACCAGTGATGCTGAATGTAAGAAATATTGGAAACACTAGTCATGAGAACTCAAGGATCCAAAATCACATCTGATGGTCTCAAAAGGTTGTGTTTTTGAAATGAACCTAGCTGATCGGCAGAATTATGAAGTTGTATTTAGAAAATTCAAGCTAATTACTGAGGATGTTTAGGTCAGAAACTGCCTGACTGATTTCCATGGCATGGATCTTACCCATGACAAAATGTGCTTCATGATTAAAAATGGCAGACCATCACTGAAGTTCATGTTGATGTCAAGACTACTGATGGTTATTTACTTCATCTATTCTATGTTTGTTTTACTTAAAAAATGAAATAATCAGATGCATAAGACCATTTATTCTCAGCATCAGCAGATCCACCAAATCCAGAAGAGGATGATAGAAATCATGACCCAATAGGTACAGACAAATGACTTGAAAGAAATGGTCAATAGATTGATTCCAGATAGCATGAGAAAGAGATAGAAAAGGCTTGCCAATGTATTTATCCATTCAATGATGTCTTTTTTATTTTTTAATTCTCACTCACAGATATGTGTATTGATTTTAGAGAGACAGGGAGGGAAGGGGAGAGAGAGAGAAACATCACTCGGTTGCATCCTTTGATGCTCCCTGACCAGGGATCGAACCTGCAACTTAGGTATGTGCCCTGACCGGGGATCGAACCCACAACCTTTTGCTGCATAAGATATTACTCCAACCAGCTGAGCCACCCAGCCAGGGCACTCCATGATGTCTTTATCACAAAAGTCAAATGCTGGAGAAACCCAAGTTTGCATTAGAAAACCTCATAGAGCTTTGTGGTGAAGGTAGCAGCTCTGGAAAAACTACACTTGATGAGACAAGTACTAAAGTTGAATAAGCTGCTGAATATGAGCCCCCAGTGACAAAAAAAATCTTATTGGTGATATTTTTAAAAATCAGTAAGAATTGACGATTGATTTGGATGTGTTGTATGTGGTCATAAGCCAAGGAATAGTGGAAAGTTACTCCTAGGTTTGCATCCCAGAAGTGTGGGTAAATTGTAATACTACTAATTTAAATAGGGATTTAAGAAGAAGAGCATGGGGACTTCCGGCCAATATGGAGGCATAGGTAGACACACTGTGCCTTCTCACACAACCAAAAGGACAGTAACAATTTAAAAACAAAAAACAACCGGAACTGACAGAAAATCAAACTGTATGGAAGTCCAACAACCAAGGAGTTAAAGAAGACATACTCATCCAAACTGGTAGGAGGGGTAGAGACACACAGGTGGACAGAGAGGACTCGCAGCAAGGACGTGACTGGAGGACCCAGCGCCAGATTGTGGAGTGGGACAAGCAAGGTTGCAGCTGGCCGGCAAGACTGTGGTGGCGACTGGTGGAGCGGGTGGTCCCACATTCGTGCACAGGTAAACCAGGAGGAACAATTGGGGAGTGAGACAGACCACACAACCCAGAACTCCAGCTCAGGGGAAATAAAGCCTTAAACCTCTGACTGAAAACACCTGTGGGGGTTGAGGCAGCAGCGGGATAAACCCTCAGCCTCACAGGGGAGTTCGTTGGAGAGACCCACAGGTGGTAGAATGTACACAAGCCAACCCACCTGGGAATCAGCACCAGAAGGGGCCAGTTTGCTTGTGGGAAGTGGGGGAAGTGACTGAAAGTCAGCAGAGAGCAGAACAAGCACCATTATTCCCTCTCAACCCCTCCCCCACGTACAGCGTTACAATCTAGCAACTGGGTTACCCCACACTGGTGAACACTTAAGGCCCCACCCCTCACTATGTAACAGGCGTGTCAAGACAAAAAAAATGGCCGAAATGAAAGAACAGATCAAAGCTCCAGAAAAAATACAACTAAGCCACGAAGACGTAGCCAGACTATCAGATGCACAGTTCAAAACACTGGTGATCAGGATGCTCACAGAAATGGTTGAATTTGGTTCCAAATTAGATGAAAAAATGAAGGCTACACTAAGGGAAATAAATGAAAATGTGCAGGGCATCAATAGTGATGGGAAGGAAACTGGGACTCAAATCAATGGAGTGGACCAGAAGGAAGAAATATCCAATCAGAAAAGAATGAAGAAATAAGAATTCGAAAAAATGAGGAGAGGCTTGGGAACCTCCAGGACATCTTTAAACGTTCCAAAATCCAAATTATCAGGGTACCAGAAGGAGAAGAGGAAGAGCAACAAGTGGAAAAGTTATTTGAACAAATAATAAAGGAGAACTTCCCCAATCTGGCAATGGAAATAGACTTCCAGGAAGTCCAGGAAGCTCATAGAGTCCCAAAGAAGTTGGATCCCAGGAGGAACACACCAAGGCGCATCATAATTACATTAGCCAAGATTAAAATGAAGGGGAGAATTCTAGAAGCAGCAAGAGATAAGGAGACAGTTGCCTACAAAGGATTTCCCATCAGACTGTCAGCTGATTTCTCATAAGAGACCTTACAGGCAAGAAGGGGCTGGAAAGAAGTATTCCAAGGCACGAAAGGCAAGGACCTACATCCAAGATTGCTCTATCCAGCAAAACTTTCATTTAGAGTGGAAGGGCAGATAAAGTGCTTCTCAGATAAGGTCAAGTTCAAGGAGTTCATCATCACCAAGCCCTTATTATATGAAATGTTAAAGGGATTTATCTAAGAAAAAGAAGATTAAAAATACAGTAAAATGACAGCAAACTCACGACTATAATCAACCACACCTAAAACAAAAACAAACTAAGCAAACAACTAGAACAGGAACAGAACCACAGAAATGTAGATCACATGGAGGATTAGCAACAGGAGAGTGGAAGGGGGAGAGAGGGAGAAAAGGTACAGAGAATAAACAGATGGTAGGTAGAAAATAGACAGGGGGAGGGCAAGGATAGTATGGGAAATGTAGAAGCTAAAGACCTTGTAAGTATGACCCATGGACATGAACTAAAGGGGAATGTGGGTGGGAGAGGGTATGCAGGGTGGAGGAGAGTGAAGGGAGGAAAATGGGACAACTGGAATAGCGTAATCAATAAAATATATTTTTAAAAAGCAGATTTGTGGAATGAGGGTAGTTCTATTTTAAACATGTTATTTAAAGGTAACCTTGGGATATTTAAGTGGACATGCTTAGTAAATAGATATGTAAATTGGGTACTCACAGGAGACTTTAGGGTGACAGATATATCAGTGTATGGGTGGAAATTACAATGAGTGTGGAATTTGAGATTGCTAAAGGAGAGTGTGATGGGGTTGAAAAGATCAAAGGTAAAACACCCTTTAACACCCAGGCAAAGTACCCAAGAAATTAGCAGGGTAGCCAGAGGAAGAAGAATCACTGAGGGTAGGTCAGGGAAGTTAGAGAAGAGTAGGAAGAGAAAGGTGATACAGAATGCAAGGTGGAGAGTTTCTACAAGGAGGGCCAGGTTCCAGAGAGGATAAGAGGAGAATTTAGTAGTTTCTGTTGGATTTAGCATCACCAAGAGAGCAATTGTGGTGAAGTAGTGAAGGTAGAATATGTTGAGAAGTTAGTGATTGGCAACAAAGTATAAACAATAGCTATGGATTGAGAAAATTGGCTGAGGGTAGGAGGGAAAAAGGGAGAGGTAGCTGACTGAGGGACAGAAACTTGAAACTTTGTAGACTTTGGGCAAGGAATTGACAGGAGAGAGGGATGGTTGATGGATGAAGGCCTCTAAAGAGGCAAGAAGGGACTGAGATCTAGAGCACAGAGGAACTGATCCTTAACAAGAGGGTTACCTTGTCTCCAGAGAATGGAGGGATCGAAGTAAGGGTGGAAATGGAAAATGATTTGGGAGTAGGGGTGGAAGATTAAGAAAGCTGATATCTGATGGCTTAGGTTTTCTCTAGAAGAGAGGTCATTTGTTGTAGGTGAAGTTAGTTGCTTAAAAAAGGTGATAAATATTAGGATAATAGCTTAGAGCAGCAATTTTCAACCTTTTTCATTTCATGGCACACATAATTACTAAAATTCTATGGCACACCAAAAAATACATTTTTTTGCCAATCTGACAAAAAATGAGTATAATTTTAATTCACACCAGACAGCTATTGTGTTGGCTGTTGTCATTTTTTTTTTAATTTGATAATCTAAGGGAAAAGGGGTCACTACTCCTCACTAAATAGTCAGGTACTGCATGGTTAAAAAAATTCTTACGGCACACTGGTTGAAAATCACTGGGTTTGAGTAATGCTAGAGGGAACCAATCAAGGACAAATGACAGAATTGATAAGATTAGCTGAGGGCCCAGCTCAAGTTGGAAACCGCAGATTTGGAGATGTAATTTTTAACCTAACAATGTCAGTACCTCCCATGTATCACAAGGTAGAAGGTGATACTCACCTCTCTCCCACTACTTTTGTTTCACTCTCAGTATATAGTCATTCTTGGCAATGAATTCTAAGACTCAAACTTTTGAAAGCTCAGCTTTTTGAAAGCTGAGATCTCCCTCTAAAGGCAAAGAATTTCAGAATTTATTTTGGTCCCTTAGACCAGGTAATGGGAGTGGGTGTTAATACCCTAGGGTAAATAGGTACTTTATAGCACAGTAAGTTTTCATGTGCTAAGGTCATGTGTGGCAGAGCAGGGTTCAGACACATTCCCCCACCACAACTACCTTTGCAGTCCCTAGGTCCAATTTTTAGATTAGTTGCCTTTCATAGTCCCATTTCTTGACCAATTCCCCTGCCTGAGCTTTCCTAAGCCTGTTTTCTTTGATTCTTTAGGATCCTGGGTATGTTCACATCCCAACAATGGAAACATCTCAGCAACGATTTCTTGAAGTCCCAGCAGGAGAAGAGGCACAGTTGGTTCAAGGCAACTGGTACCATCAAGAAGTTCCGAGCTGGCCTCAGCATCTTTTCACCCATCCCCAAGTAAGTGCTCCTCCAGGAGCTGACCGTCTCTAATCACTTACTCTTGTCTAAGCTCCTACCCCACCTCCTTGATTACCTGTATTTATTTATTCTGTCCTCTCCTTGGGTCCTCTAAATTCTGTACCTTTTACTACTAAAAGTACCCACACGGCCCAGTCCCCTATGTGTGCTAATTCCACTCCTGACCCTAATTTTTATACTTTGTCCTTTATGTAAAATGCAGTTCTTAACTAACAATATATATTTGGAGAAATGTGTGCTAATCTGTCCATCCTTCCTTTATTTGACCCTCATCCTATTTCTTATCCTAGGGAGGCAGAGTCAGAGAATAGGCACCAACTCCTTGCTGTTATGTAAGCGTACATTGATTTATGGTCAAACCTCAGTTCTCAGACTTCTTTGGTTCTCGAACAGTTTGGTTCTTGACTGAGTTGCTCATGGAAAAAATGTCTCAATTAGCTAATAAAACTTCTGGTCTTGATTCTCTGCCCCACCACCCTTTCATGCTGATACCTGTATGATCAGTCACATGGCATAGGAGATTCAGTTTTTGAACAAATTGTTTCTTGAACACTTCTCTGGAATGAATTAAGTTGGAGAACTGAGATTGCTCTGTATTATCTAGTTCTGTTTCCAGAACTAATCAATCAGTGATCTGATAAATAAAGCACACACACACACACCCCATCCCGTGCCTTCTGATCATCTTAAAAGCAAATACAGATCCAGATTCGTAGCTTCCTAGGTACTGTTGTTGACAGTCATGCATCAGTCTCTTTGTAATGAAACTACTTGCTTAGTACAGTGTTTAGCACTTAATTACATATATATATAAATACACACACACATTGAGTAAATGAAACAGGCATCCTTTTCAAGGGAGCATTCCATACCTGGCTTAGATGCCATAGAGTGACCTAAGCTTGGTCTCTGCCTAACCTCCATGTTCCAGTCAGAAAAACACACAGATAATGGCATAAAAATCAACTCAGATGTGTGATCTACGTATTTGTTTTAACAGTGGTGAGATCCAATAGAATTTTCCTCATATGTTCTTTTTGGCTTCTTTTTGGTGTTAGGCAAATCAGTCACTTCCCTCATGCTGGCCTAGGACCCACTTGTCTCCAGGCATCTTCCAGGGCTCATACCGAATCCCCAGTTTCACCACTTCTTGCTCTCTCTCCAGGTCTCCCAGTTTCCCTATCATACAGGACTCCATGCTGAAAGGCAAACTTGCTGTACCAGAGCTTCGGGTTGGGCGCCTCATGAACCGTTCCATTTCCTGCACCATGAAGAACCCCAAAGTGGAGGTGTTTGGCTACCCACCCAGCCCCCAGGCAGGTCTCCTGTGCTCCCAGCACGTGGGCTTCCCTCCCCCAGCACGGACCTCTCCTTTGGTACATGAGCTAGGGAGGGTTTGACTCGGGTGCTAGGGTGGGAGTAGAATTGTGAGAGTATAGCTTATCAAAGTGGGGTGGGAGTATGGTTTTCTAGGCATCATAAATCAAACCTGGGCAGGTAGCATGAGTAGGTGGAATGGAACACATTTTGTGATAGCTGAAAACTTATACCTGAACTATTTGTGTTCTGGCCGGGTAGTTCATTTGGTTATAGCATCATCCCAATATGCCAAGGTTGTAGGTTTGATCCCTAGTCAGGGCACATACAAAAATCAGTGAATGAATGCATAAATATTTGGAACAACAAATCAATGTTTTTCTCTCTTTAAAAAAATAAATAACTGTTTGGCAAGCTTCTCTGAGAGTAGGCCATGAAGCAGAGTCTCGGGTTGGACATCCCAATGAAATGTCACATACGATTTTATTAGGTTATGGTTAAGACTTGATAATCAGCTGCTATACTAACCTAGTCCACCCACCTTTAAGGTTAAGGCTAGGTGAGCTCTTTTCAAGAATCCTTGGGAAAAATGTCTAAAGGTCTCTCCAGCTTTGGAAGTACTTAGGCTGATTGGAGCCAGGGCTTAGCTACTTTATGGGCATGAGTGAGGTCTGTCTAGGTGCCAGCTTCATAGGAGGCTCATGGGGTCTTTTTACTCTTAATCAGGTCAGTGGTCACTGCAAGAACATCCCCACTCTGGAATATGGATTCCTTGTCCAGGTAAATCAAGTTCAAAGTTTCATTCCAAAGCCTTTCCCCTGTTGTCTGACCCATTTGATCACCTAATGTCTCCTATCTCCTTAGTCAATTAAATATTTCCTGAATTGCTCTGCTCCCAGAACTATATTAAGTTTTAATTGAATAGGAGAAAAGCATAGTTCCCATCCTCAAGAAGCTTACAGCATTACTGGGAAGAATGTTTACAGACCACTTATGATCAAGTGCCAAATGATGCACTGTAAGTTTTAAATGCCTTGCTGTTGAGACAGGAAAGTAATTGACTGATTTGCTTATGATCCCCAACATTCTCACGCAAATACTCTTCAGTTTTCCTTGTAGACTTCTTTTACTGCTCAGCCACTACTGGTCATTTCTTCTTTTTTAAACCTTTTTATTCCCTGGACATGCTTTCATTTTTGCATCCCTGTTACTTTTGTTCTTGTCATTCTTCCACTGGATTTCCTCCCCTATATCTGCCTATTCCTCCCCTATATCTGACACTGAGTCAAGGCTCAGTGTCACCTTTTCCATTAAATATTCTCTGTTACTCCAGTATGTATATTAATTAATTAGCTAGAAGTTCTAGCTCCTCTCTCTGAGCTGTCATGATGCTTTTGGTTTTATATGGCACTTATGTGTTATGTACCATATGCTAGATTGAATTGTAATTAATTTGTATACGCACCACACCTCCCTATTGGAGTACTGGGTCTGAGAAGACAGTCTTTTATATTGTTACATAATCAAGGAGACTTTTCACTGAGCTGGGTACATAGTAGGAAGTCAGTAAATCTGAATGAATAAAAGCCCTTGTGTGTCCCTTTACTAGCCCCAAAGAATATTAAATGGGAACAACTTGTTTTATACACTGAGTGTATCTGGTTGAAAAGGCCATGTTAAGGCAATGTTTAAAAAAATACCTTAGGATATTGCTCCATGAGCTCTGGATTTGTTCTCTCTTCCCAGCACAGAGTTGTATCTGTAGTTGTGATCAGTTGATAGGCCGATTGTTCTAGGTGGTTGAAATGCCTTCTCAGGCCCCCCCACCATCTCATCATGGACTCAACACTCATCTATCCCAGAGGGACAATCTGTAATTACTACAACTAATGTTAACAGTTTGATTAATGTTTAATATTAATACTTTGATTAATGTTAATGTTAAATGTTAATAGCTGATTACTGTTAATGTTTAAAAATACTTTCACAGAAATCATCTCATTACTCTTAATACTTATGTGAGGTGAATAATGTTCAATTTTGTACATGAAAAAACAAAGGCCTAGGTTAACTGACTTGTCTGAAGTTACTTGTGGTAGTAAGTAGTAAAGAGGAGAGTCTCAACCTAGGTCAAGACTGGTCTTACCATGGCTGGTCTTGTTTTTACCCTTCATATTTGGTCTTAGCTCTAGAGTCAGGCCATTTAGTTTAACTAAATTTAGGGCCAAGAAGAGATTCTGTTGTAGGCTTGGGACTGAGAGGGAGGAGACTACCTTGAAAAGAAGCTCAAATTAGTTCCCATATCTGGGCCTGTACTTCCAAGAGACTGAGTAGAACCTCTTCTCTCCCTAGATCATGAAGTATGCAGAGCAGAGGATTCCAACATTGAATGAGTACTGTGTGGTGTGTGATGAGCAGCATGTCTTCCAGAATGGGTCCATGCTCAAGGTATGATCCCTTGTTCTGTGACCCTTGTCTTTTGCCCTTTAGCCAAGGCCCCTTTACTTCTCATCTGTCCTTTATTCCTTTCTTTCTGGGTCTATGGTAAAGGTAAAATTCTGTCCTTATTCTTTGAGACTGTAGAAATAATGGGTTTTTCTTAAATAAATGTCAATAGTCCTGCTAGGAAGGATGCGGGTGTGTGAATATTTTTGAAGATATAATCCCCACCCAACATTTAAAAATAGGTATCAGATATTGACCAAAATGATTGGATATGATGCTGTCCTTAAGAACTCCAAATCTAGATGAGTAGACAGATACTTTACTGTAAGTGTATAGAAGGGATATGAGCGGTGTTGTGATGCTCCGAAGGGAGAGCATATAGCTACCTAGGTAGGTCATGGAAGGCTTCGTAGAGGAGACAGCATGAATTCTCAAACTTACCAGTAAAGCATTTTAATTAAGACTTTACTTATTTACAGTTTTCTCTTGACATAAAGGGCCCCAAATTCCTACCTCATTCTAGAGTTGTCTATGGTCAGGATTGTCCCTCCCTCCCTACAACAGCCTTTTACTGCACCTCTCCTACTACCACTGTGTGTTTAATATGTCCATTCAGCCAGCCGTCTGCACTCGTGAACTGTGCGTTTTCTCCTTCTACACACTGGGCGTCATGTCTGGAGCTGCAGAGGAGGTGGCCACTGGAGCAGAGGTATGGGAGAGGGAAAAGCTGCTGGAGAACCGGGTCATTCCCAGCAATTTCATTATTTTGAACTTAACCTCCAGAAAAGCATCCACATGTAAGGATGTTCAAGATAGTATTATTCCCCTGGCTGGCGTAGCTCAGTGGATTGAGTGTGGGCTGGGAACCAAAGTGTCCCAGGTTCGATTCCCAGCCAGGGTACATTCCTGGGTTGCAGGCCATAACCCCCAGCAACCGCACATTGATGTTTCTCTCTCTCTCTCTCTCTCTCTCTCTCTCTCTCCCCCCGCCTTCCCTCCCTAAAAATAAATAAAAAAATAAAATCTTAATAAATAAATAAATAAATAAAATGTATCATTAAAAAAAGATAGTATTATTCGTAATAGTAAAAACAAACAAACAAATATGGGTACAACTGCATCTATAGGGTATCCAGTTAAATTATGGTATGTCCTTACAGTGGAAATACTATACAGCTATTATTTATGGATAGAAAATTGTAACATATAAGCCCTGACCAGTGTGGCTTTCATCGTCCTGCAAAATGAAAGGTCCCCAAGTTAGGGCACATGCCTGGGTTTTGAGTTCATTCCCCAGTCAGGGTATGTGAAAGGGGCAACCCATCAATGTATCTCTCTCACATCAATGTTTCTCTCCCTCTCTTTCTTCCTCCCTTCCCCTCTCTCTAAAAATAAATAAGTCGTTTTTTTAAAAAAGGATATTATAACATTAAAAAACACAACAGTATGTATAGTGCAATTCTTTTTTTTAAATTGACTATCTAATAAAATAAGTATTTCCATAGAGAAAATATCTAGAAGGATATACATCAAATTTAGCAGCTTATCTGTAAGGAATGAGATTTGTTTGGAGGCAGGGGGATAAATTTTATCTTTTCTTTAAGCACTTTTTAAATCATTGTTACTTGAATATTTATAATGAGCTTATATTTTCTAATGCAAAAACCATAAACATACTTGCTTTTAGAAAGAAGAGCAGGGAGAAATGCTGAGACTCCAAAAGTTAGACCTATCCTGGACACTATGTGACTTACAACACTGAGAAATCATTTAGCACTCTGGCAGTGTGGCTCATTTGGATTGTGCCCCGTAACTGAAAGATTGCAGTTCGATTCTGGTCAGGGCATGTACCTAGGTTGCAAGTTCCATTCCTGGTCTGGGCACGTGCAGTCTCTAGTCTACGCATGAGACGATCCCCGGTCCATGCAGGAGGGAGGCAAACAATTGATGCTTCTCCCTGACATGATGTTTTTCTCTCTCCCTTCCTCTCTGTCTAAAAAGCAATGAAAAAATATCCTTGGGTAAGGATTTATAAAAAATCATTTAGCTTCTGCTGAACCCTTTCTCCTTTCCCCTAAGGTGGTGGATCTGCTGGTGGCCATGTGTAGGGCAGCTTTGGAGTCCCCTAGAAAGAGCATCATCTTTGAGCCTTATCCCTCTGTGGTGGACCCCACTGATCCCAAGACTCTGGCCTTTAACCCTAAGGTATAATTGCTTGGGAATAAAGTTAGGGCTAAGGAGCAGAAACAGTAGAAGACTGGGAGACTATGGGCTGTCATTCTAGTTAAACAACATCTTGGACTAAGAATCAGAAGAAATGAAACACTTGTTTCTTGGCAACTCTTGAACCCTGAGCTTTGGCTGTTTTAGTAAATAAATACCTGAGTTTGTCAGAAGGGGAAAAGAATTAACATTTGTTATGCCATGAAAGGGAAGAATACAGACTTTGGAGCCAAACAGACCTGGACTCCACTTGAGACTCAGCTGTTTCCTAGCTGAATGGTGTTAGGCAAGTCAGTTAACCTTAATGAACCTTGATTTCCTTTTCTGCACAAGGGATTATTTCCCTTGTGGATTGTTATAAAAATGAGGGATAATATAAGTAAAGTACTGCATTAGTTAGCATTCCCCACAGAAGCATAACTATTATTATAATGAATTGGCTTATATGATAACAAAGGCTAAGAAGTCCCAGGATCAGCAGTCAGCAAGCTGGAGGCTCAGGAAGAGCCAATTGTTTAAGTTCCAATCCAAAAGCTAGCAGTCTCCAGTTCCAAGTTTACAGACAAGAAAAGACCAATGTCCCAGCTTTAGAAAGTCAGGCAGCAGGAGCCTTTTACTTGGCCTCTTTGTTCTATTCAGGCCTTTGACTGATTGGATGAGACCCACACAAATTAGAGGGGAACAGTGTGCTTTACACAGTGTTCTGATGTAAGACACACCCCAAAGCAACATTTGACCAAATGTCGGGCACTCCATGGACCCATCAAATAGATGCAATTAACCATCACAGTGCCTGGCTATTACTCATTGCTGTGTATCACATACTATACCAGGTTCTTTACACTTCAAAATATTGATATTGGGGTAGTGGGAATTTTTATCTTCATTTATTCACAGGGATACTGGGGTCCTAAGAGGTTAAGTAACTTACCCTATTACTCTCAGCTGGTAAAAGAACTAGCATGTGATTCCAGAACTGCCCAACATTAAATCTGTTTTCTTCACATGACATGCTACACCATTTCCCTAGGGCCTAGACATTTTTTGTACATCTGGTCCTCCTTTTCATCACATCTTACTATTCTCCATATTTCTTCATCTGGTTCTCTTTCCATTGATTCCCCACAGAAGAAGAATTATGAGCGACTTCAGAAAGCTCTGGATAGTGTGATGTCCATCCGGGAGATGACCCAGGTACTCTGCCCTTCACCTCTCCCCTGCCTGTGCCACTCAAGTGTCATATTCTGTTTGGAATTCATGGGAGTGGAGTGAAGATTTAGAGATGCTACTCAGATTCCTTACTGTATTTTCCTTAGTCTTCCCTCATGTTCTGCTGTTAGTGCTGTTACTCTTCTCTTTCAACCTTTACCTTTGCTGCTGATTCCTTAACAAGTGGTTCATATTTAATGTTTTCCCCATAATTATTAAGAAATTAGAGAAGCGAGGGAAAGACCTGTGCCCAGGGTTGGGAGGCTGAGGTGGCGGGGGGCCTTGGAGTTAAGGAACTAGACCCAGGGGCCTGCATCTTCTATCCTTCTAGGGGTGGGGCAGCCACATGGAGCAGTGACCGTCCTTTGACTCAAGGCTGTCCCTCATCAGACTTCCCCACCCCTCGTCTGCAGTCTCTGCATGAATAGACATTCATTTGTGCTCATTTACAGGTGGGCCTCTTCTCAGCAAATCCTATATATTACAGTTCAGATTAACACATAAGAAACACCAAGGAGGGATGAGTATCCAGAGGGACTCTGTTTTATGTAAAGTTTTATCACAGGATTCCTTAGCTTATTCTTTCTGGACATTGATTTTATTTATTTTTTAATATACAATTAACTTTGTAAGGCTGTAGGAATTGCATAAAATGAGGGAGACCCACCTGCATGTTGTTTTGTAAGCATCTTCTGTCATTTTCATATTTATTTATGAGTGTTCCCAGTTTGCCCAGGCTCATTGTGGGTGGGAACCCCATCTTCTCTTGCCTTTGTGTGGCCATTGCTGCCTACTTTGCCCTGGGCCCTGATAGTCAGTCTGTGGAAAGTAGGAGGGTTCCCACCACTCCAGGAAGTTAAACTTATGGCTGTTGTCTTACAGGGCTCATATCTGGAAATCAAGAAGCAGATGGACAAGCTGGATCCCCTGGCCCATCCTCTCCTGCAGTGGTATGGATAGAAGTTAATTCTTCCCAGAGTGGGGCAGGGACATGGTATTAGACACGGAGCCTGCACCTTCTCTTCAAGTCGGTTTCAGCTTCTTTCTTCTTTCCCGAGGTTGTATATATCATGGCTGCTTTTTCTTGGGGTTATCATTGACATATCTGACTTTGACAAGAGCTCAGGTCCTACAGAGAGCCCACAAATTCTGCAACGTCTTGACTTCTCTTCAGGGGTTTCTTATTTCCCTATAGGTTTTTGAGTGCTCCTTGCATGTAGGAATTAACACTGTTCATTTCAAATAAGTTTCTGTGTATCCAGAGAGGTATATCTCCTCTTTCTACTCCCTTTCCCTGTCTTGAGGTCCACCCTGTTTAGGTAGACTGTCCAGAGCCTTGAGGCACTATTTTTACCTTCTAGCAAAGATTCTGACCATTCTCTGTTGCCCTCAGTCCCCACCATCCCTCTCTGATCTTGATTTCTGTTCTGTTTTCTTTTTTATTTTTTTAGAGGGGTTGGGGAGAAAGAAAGGGAGAGAAACACTGATGTGTGGGAGAAACATCGATTGGTTGCTTCTCCCTCACCCACAAGCAACCAGGGACCTGGCCCACAACCCAGGCATGTACCCTGACTGGGAATGGAACCTGTGACCTTTTGGTTTGCAGGACCACACCCAACCCACTAAACCACACCGGTCAGGACTTCTGTTCTATTTTCTTGACATAGTTTTTCCCTTTCTTCATAGTCAGCCTTTGACAGCAGTACTTTCTAAGTGCAGCATGCTCTCTGTTAGCATGAGGGATGACCAGGCATAGGTCCTCTAGGGTGGCATCACAAGTACATGGGTGAAAGCTTTAAAAAAACCAAATCATCCACTGTAGGAGATAATGCTCCTTTGCTGAGGCTTCAGTGTTTTATTTATGCCTTTGTTCTCTCCTGTCCTCTGAGTTCTGCCTACCCACAGCCCAGTCTACCCCTGAATCCTCAGGAATTTTGTTCTAGTTTCTTCTGTTTCTTTCTCCAGCCTAAACAGTAACTTTTTATCCATTCTTTGCCATCCTTAAGAGCCATCAGGCTTCCTCTGAGCTCAGGTGGGATAACTCCTGAGCCTAGTTCTGAGTTTCTAAATCTCACAGATGAGTGTCACCACCCTAATACAGACCCTCCCTTCTAATTTTTTAGCTGACCTCTTGTGCTCTTTCTTTTGTTCTTTTTTCTCCCTAGATGCAGCAGCTCACCTCCCACCCCTCTCTCTTTTTTCATCCATTATCTAACTACCAGTAACTAGCTTTCCTTTTACATTTTTATATACAAGCATTACTACCCAAGAGAATATCCAAAGTGTGACCTGGAAATTTCACAGGATTCAGACAACTCTGGAATTCTTGCTTGTTCTTTGAGAGGCACAGCAAGGCAGCTGCTTTGTTCGGGATGGCCTAACCACACATTGGTTCTCTCCTTTCCCCTTTTCTCTGTTTTGTCCTAGGATCATCTCTAGCAACAGGTCACACATTGTCAAACTACCTCTCAGCAGGGTAAGTGATCTTTCCCCCTTCAAACTCTAAACTTCTGATGAGAGACAGAGAGGGCTCCAAACCAGCCAACCGCACTGGTGGACTTGCCTGGTTGCCTCTGTCCATCAATGGTAGTCTTTGGGCCTAAGCATGTTTCCCTTATTTGGGGTCAAGGCAAACTGATTTGCTCCTTATCCCCAACCTTTCCCTCCCTGATCTCCATTTCTGCTCTGTTTTTCTGACCCCACCCCCACCCTGGGCAGCAGCTGAAGTTCATGCACACCTCACACCAGTTCCTCCTGCTGAGCAGCCCTCCTGCCAAGGAGGCACGGTTCCGGACCGCCAAGAAGCTCTATGGCAGCACTTTTGCCTTCCAGTAAGGAGTGTGGAGGTCGGGGAGGAGGACAACAAATAGTGTAATGTGATGGGAGAGCAAGTTCACTAGAGATGAATGAGTTTGTGTTACCTGTGTCCATCGACCAATCAGTCAATCAACAATTAGTTATTAAGTGCTATTGTGGTAGGTATTGTAGAGGATTAAAAAGATACATATGAGCCCTTTGTCCCATAGCTGGAAGGTTGCAGGTTCAATCCCCAGTCCAGGTGTATATGATCCCTAGTCCGGGCACATGCAGGAGGCAACAGATCGATGTATTCTCTTGCTTGCATCAATGTTTCTCTCCCTTCCTCTATACAAAGCGATGAAAAAAATGTCCTCGGGTGAGGATTAAAAAAAGATGCATATGATGTGATCATTACTGTTAGTTGAGGAGAAATGACATTTACATATAAAAAGATGGCTGAAGACACTGACTGGAAGGATTAGATTTGAAAGCTACTTTGAGGATATCAGCAATTGGTGCCTAATTGTGGGAGGAGAGAGAGAAAGAAAGGCGTATTAAAGGTGATGCAAAGGGAGTGATGGTACACTTTTCTCAAAATAGACATGAATTCAGAATTGGAAGCCATATTTGGATTCAGCGATAAGTTTGAGTTTGAGAATTTAATTTGAAATATAGGAAAATAGGCCAATGAGAATACTGAATCAGTAGTTGAGGATTTATGAAGGGACTTGCTAAAATGCAGAAGAGAGAGTGGGACTGGAAATTAAAATACAGGAGTTAGCGACACACACACATCTTGCATGCCTGTGACTCTGTCCATGTGCATGTCTGTTGCTAGATATTTGTGTCCATCTTCATGATCTGTATGGGTGAGAGTGGGTGGGAGGTGCAGTCTTGGAAGTGTTCCTGGGAAGCTCACTGTAAGGAGACATGTATTCTACCCTGCCTTACAGTGGGTCCCACATTGAGAATTGGCATTCGATTCTGCGCAATGGGCTGGTGAATGCATCCTACACCAAACTGCAGGTGAGGCTGTGACCCTTTTTTCTTTCTCTTACGCCTTTTCTGCCCCACTCAGTTTTGGGGAAGTCTGCTTTAGAGTATTCAGCGGTTTTTTCCTCAGCATCCTCAAATCTAGCCTGCCATGTGACTTCACTAGGGAGGAAGTTGGAACTGTTTGTATAGAATGAAAGTGGCTGGTGTGTATTTTACCCCAGGCTGTTTTTTGGTGGTGTTTGGAATGGGAATGTAGCTGTAAGCAGGCATATGAATTGCTGATTGCAGCCATTAGATGAATTAAGCTATGAGAACTTTTCAATATGTGTGATGGTTCCTTCAGAGAGTTGATATAGGAGGCTTATTTCTTTGCCCTGTGAGACTCTAAGGAACAGTTATTGTCCTACCTCCCGACTACCTGTTCTGTAGTTCCTTTTTTTAGAATATGCATATGTACCAAGACCTAGGGACAGAAGCATGGATTCTGAGGGACTGACTCAGTAGATCTGCTATTCCTTACTCTCCAAGGCTTTAATATCTAGTATTTCATAGACAACGGGATTAACCTGCATCAATTTTTCAGCCAATCAGCTTTTTGATATTAGGTGCCTAGAGTTATCTGAATGAGAGAGATAGTGGAGGTACAGGGGACTAGATAAGCCTTGTGGCTGCCTAATATACAGCCATGGGAGGGCCCAGGCTCATATTGCTCACCCTGGTGTTTCCCTGCAAGCTGCATGGAGCAGCCTATGGCAAAGGCATCTACCTGAGCCCCATCTCCAGTATTTCCTTTGGATACTCAGGTAAGAAATACTCTCTGGCCATCTTGACTCTATTTATATTGCATCCAGTTTGCGAATACATGATCTGTGCTGTCTCTTCCTCCTCCATCATGGATACTTGGTCTGTGTCACCTCTCTCCCCAATCATGGATATAGTCTGTCTTTCTCAACTTTATTTCATTGGAAATTTGGATTCTTCACAAGGTGAGGCCATTTATCTCCCTTTCTCTTGGGTAATCCTTTTCTCCATGGGGATGGTTCTATTCATTACAGAGGCATGGCCCTGGGAATTGGTTAGAGAATAACTGGGAAATGAAACTAGGTTTTTTGTAGACCACATCTGTGGTGTTGGCAATAGCCCGTCATTATAAATTGTGTGTGCACACATATGCATGTGAGTTTATGTGTGAATACACTTGAAAGCTAGAGTCTTTTCCATTGGCTTACATTTCTGGACACTTGTTCTTCTCCCTATTACCAATCTCTTCAACTGTATTTAATTATGTACTATGATATTAGTCACTTGCATTAGTCAACGCAAGAAAAAGCATTTTATTCCCAAGATAAGGCATGAAGGAAGTTCAGATTCTACTCGGGAGATCAGTCTAGATTTGTCCTGCTCACAATGTGATTCTGACTTAGAATTCTCTCAGTGTTCCATGTTCATATCTTAATTTCTTTCCTGCCTTCTTTTGTTCTTTTTCTGGTCTCTGCACATAAAGGAGAGCCACGATTTATTTGCATGCCTACCACATGAAGGTGACAGTGCTAGAGTTTTTATAGATTATTTTTTCGTATCTTCCAGTAATCATAACTATTATAAAGATTAGAAAACTTAAGCCCAGAGGATCAGAACTAGAAAAGTCTCTAACAACAGAATAAACCAAACATAGAAGAGATAATATAGGTAAGAACCCAAATCAACCAAGTAAAAAAAATTACAATAGAGAGAACCCAAAAGCCAAAAAGTCGATTCTTGCCCTACCTAGTGTGACTCAGTGGATTGAGTGCCAGCCTACAAACTGAAAGGTTGTCAGTTCAATTCCCAGTCAGGGCACATGCCTGGGTTGCAGACCAGGTCCCCACCTGGTGGAGTGTGAGAGGCAGCTGATCAATGTATCTCACACATGGATGTTTCTTTTTTCTCCCTCCCTTCCCCTCTTTCTAAAAATAAATAAATGAAATCTTTAACAAAAATTAAAATACATTAATTTTTTTTTAATGTTACATATTTATGTTTAGAGACAGGGGAAGGGAGGGAGAAAGGAGAGAAACATCAATGTGTGGTTGCCTCTTGCATGCCCCCTACTGGCCTATTCACCAGCCAGGGCAAAATAAAATAATTTTTAAAAAGTTGATTTTTTTAAGACTAAAAACAAAAAAAAAACACACAAAGCTGGATAGACTAAGAAGATAAAGAACATAATTGGATGAATGAAAAAGGGAACATAATTACAGATAATAGCAAAATTTAAAAAGTTAATGGGAGAGTTTTGTCAGCTCTATTCCAGTACTTTGAAAACTTTGACAAAATGGATAAATTCCTAGCAAAATATAACTAAAAACTGAATCAAGAAAAAATAAAAAGCCTTAATAGCCCTAAAACCATACAATGCATTGAAATAGTAGTTTTTTTTGAAATAGTAGTTTAAACTTTTATGTACACCCCTTCCTCCCCGTATGCACACACACACAACCCAAAAAACTCACCGAGCTCAGTTTTAAAGTCAGTTTTTAAACCGGAGTTTCAAGGGACAGATTATTACACAGTTGTATACAAAATCATCCAGATAATAGAAAAAGATAGAATTATACATCATAAAAGATTGGTATATTTGACTGTTAAAACTAAAAAATACAAAACAAGATATTTGCAATACACATAACCACAAAAGATTAGTAATAAAAATATATTTTAAAAACTCTTATAAATCAGTAAGAAAAAGACAATAAAAAATCAATAAGAAAAAGTAGTCAGGTGATATGAACAGATTTGTCACTGAAGAAATGCTCAACCAGTATTAGGAAGTAAAGTCACGACAAAAATGACTTACCATTTTAGCACCCATAATGGATTAGCAAAAATTAAGAAACCTAATAATATATCTGATTATACCAGAGGTTGTATATCATCAGGATCTTTTTTATTGCTTATGGGGTATAAATTGATATAATCGCCTGATGTTAAATTGAAGCTGAATTTTATCCCAGTGACCCAGCATTTTCACTCCTGCATATGTGCACCCGAAGGTGTGTACACGGATGTTCAAAGCAGTGCTGTTACTGTTTGCCACAAGAAATATTGGAAACAACTCAAATGCTCATCATCAGGAGAATGGATAAATATATTTTAATATATCCTTATGATTATTATTCAGTGATGAAAATGAATGAACAATGGCATTTAACAACATGGAAAAATCGTAGTGAAAAAAGACAAGCCTAAGCATGACTGATGTGGCTCAGTTGGTTGGGCATTGTCCTGCAGATTGAAAGGTCTCCAGTTCAATTCCTGGTTGGGGCTGCGTATTCAGTCCCTGGTCGGGGCACACACGAGAGGCAGCTGATTGATGTTTCTTTCTGCGATCGATGTGTCTCTTCTTCCTTCCTTCCCCTCTCTCTAAAAATCAACTTTTTTTTTTAAAGGCAAGCCCAGAAGACTAGTATGCACTGCTTTTTTTATATTGTTCAAAAGCAAACAAAATTAAACATTAGGGGTGTGTGTGGGTGTGTGTGTGATAAAACTAAAGAAATTTCAGGATGTTGGTTACCTTCCAAAGGAAGGCAGATAAGTGGGATAGGGTAAGAGCGTGTAGTTAAACGTAAGTCACTGGTAATGTTTAGTTCTTGGCTTTAGTTCTCAGGTATTCTTTGTCCTATTAAATAACCAACAGTGTGCATGAACCAAACGTTGGGGTTAATCCACACAGGGTAAGGGCCCAATAAATGTTTATTGAATGTGTGCATGGGTCTCATTCTGTGTGCCTGGGGTCTAAAGTAGAGTGGGGTTGGTGTAGTCTTTCTGGCTTCTTTGTATGGGTTCCTCAATTTTTGTCTTTGTCCCAGCCCAAGCTTGCCTCTTATAAAGCTCTTATTATTTTCCAAATGGTGAAATTCTCCCCATTCTCAGTGCCCACAAAATTCTTTCTTCCTGTCTATTTTCTCCCTCTGTCACTGGCCTTTGTTTACCACTAAGCGGCTAAATACCATTAGTTATTGGGTGGAGCCAGGAATCTACACCGACTTCTTATATTTTTTTGTCACTTTACTGATTACTGAAAAACATCATGTTATGATACTGCTCTTCTCCATAGGATTTTATTAGAGTTATAGATCATCTTGTCCAATCCCGTATTATATAAATTAAAAAGCTGAAACTCAGAGAAGTTAAATGACTTTGGGGTCTCACAGCTGTGAGTAGCAAAGCTAAGACTGAAATCCAGATCTCCTAAGTTCTAGAACAATGTTCTTACTATTGTATTGGACTGACTCAAACACCTAAGGGACCTTATAGGTATTTGAGTCTCTAAGACAGTAGGTAGAATGTGTGCAGCTGTCTAACTTAACTATAGTTACTCTAGCATTTGGTCAGCTTTATCTTCTTACATGTGTTCTTCAACCTTATTCTGGTCTCCTTTTCTCTGATCTTCCTCAAGGTAGCCCAGTGGCATTGGATGCCTTCTGGGAGCAGTGTAGAGAGCATCTCTTTGACTGGCGAAGCCTCCACTGATTTGGCCAGAGTATTATGCTTGTTAAAATGAGGGCCAATGAGAAAGGAGGTGGTGAATTCCATTTGTTTAGAGATATGTAGTAAGTATATACTCTGGACATAAATATCCAGGGATTTCTAGCCATCATGTTCTTAGGGTCTAGTTTGGGGAAACTGACTAAAGATCACTTGGGGTAGTGTGGATAGGGCAGTGCACAACAGAATTTGGACAGGACAAGTAAGGGCCATCTCTAAGAGCAGCTATAGAAATCAGATTGTTCTTTCCTATCCTCTGGGGTAGAACCTGAATGAGAATTTCACTCAGAATCTTGCACTGAAATACCCAGGTTGGAGGAGGTCATGTTTGGAATGCACAGCTAAACCGAGTTCAGGGTAATGGAGAAGGTGGAAACGGGCAGTGAATGTCCGTAGGGGGAAGAAATTAGCAGTTCAGGCCTTGAAGCTATCGTTGCCTCAGTTTTGTTCAGGCCATAAACCTGTCGTGAGGCTTTAGTGTGAGTGCATGAAGAATTGACAGCCAGAGCAGTGAAGAACATCAGTCCAGTGGTTATCATCCCCACAGCTACAACATGGCTATAAAAAGACCAAAAATTGAGGCAGAGTAAAGTTAGTAATAATATAGAAAGTTCCAGGATGGAGTGGTTGATAAACACCCTGCTTATGGCCTGTAATGATAGCATCATTTTCCATCTCCTTCATCTTCCTCTCAGTCTCATACACACACAAGGCTGTGAGAAGGCTGGGCCTGTGGTAAAGCTGAGCATAGAGACTGAAGTCCTAATCACAAGCCAGAAGGAGTTGGGAGTAGGGGCACACAAGCACTGTTTTATATCTAAATAAGAAAAATCCAGAATGAGTCTACAAATGTCTTAAACAGGACTATTTACTGGGGACTAAGGATGGGGGAGGATTTATGGATTTAGATAGGTGGAATCTGGATGGAATTGGCACCACTCCCTACAGTGTGGGAAGACTTTCCAAAGCAAGCAGTATTCCTCAAGGTTTTTGCCATGTGGTTATCTGTGGAAAATCATTTATTACCTAACTGCTATGCTTTCTTCCTTTTCTCTTGAATGACTGGAGTCACAGTATTTTATGTAACTTTGAGATTAGAGCATATCTAACCTGCTCTGCTTTCTTCTTTACACTGTTCACTCAGCCTGGCATTTGATCCGAAGTGTTAATGCCACACTTTCTTAGGCCCTCATTCTTGTCTCATTTCATGTGTTATTCCCCTATCTTTGAACCCTTCGGTGATTCCCTGATGTTCTCAGGATAAACCCTAGGTGCCTTCACATAGCCTACAAGGCCTGCTTTACCTGATCGTAGCTCACCTTTTAGACATCATCTCTCGCCACTCCTCTGCCATTGACCATGCTCCATACAAACTAAGGCGTGCTGCTTTTTCCTTCAGGCCTTCTATATCCTGCTACCACTGCCTGTTCTTCATATAACTACATCTTCCCAATCTTAGAGTTCTCAGCTAGGCTGTCACCAGGAAGCCTTCTTCAAACCCCTAAGCTAGGTTCCTTCTCTGCCTCTGGCTCACACAGTGCTCTCTATTCTCCCCATCACAGCACTTACATACTGTGTCACAATTGCTTGCTCTTTGTCTGTACTCTCCGCCAGACTAAATTTTGTGAGGAAAGGTATCTTGTTTGTTTTATTCACTGCTGTATTGACAAGTGTCTAGCTCAGTGCCTGGCACCTAGTAGGCACTTGAGTAAATGTTTGATTAAGGAATAGATAAATGAATTCCTGTTTGTTGTTCCGTGACAGGAATGGGAAAAGGACAGCACAGGATGCCCTCCAAGGATGAGCTGGTCCAGAGATATAACAGGATGAATACCATCCCCCAGGTATTATTGGTTGGCCCTGCTCCAGTGAGGCAAGACCCTTCTCCTGGGATCAGTTTTGGCTACAGAGATGGATGGGGAAACAATGGTGGGGGTGGTAGGTAGTTTGAAGATCATTTGAAGTAATCAACTGCATTCTAAGATGAACACACTCCCAGAGTAATAAGTGGCCTCAGTCACAATGATGAAAGTAGAGACTGAGTTTATGGAAAAATGCAGTGACATGAAAATGTAAAGGTGGAAGCTGTGGACTCATTCAGACTGGTTGTGGGAAAGGAAAATGTATGTGCATATAGGGGGGTTGCTGGCTGGGAGCCCAGGATATCCCTGATCCCTACCTATCACCAGCTAATCAGCTTCTATAGGGAAAACGATAATAGTTTACCTGGCTCTGCTTTCTTTCTCTTCCAGACCCGATCCATTCAGTCGAGGTTCCTGCAGAGTCGGAATCTAAACTGTATAGCACTTTGTGAAGGTAGGTAGCTCACCCAGCCCCTGTTTTTCTGGGTCCCCAACCTTTCTTTTTGGTGCAGATATGGCACACAATCCAGCCAAGGGTGATGATGGAACATCACGTCTTCCCTCCCCTGCCTGGACTCTGACCTAAACATTATATTTGTAACTTCTGGCCCCTTCTTCTCAGTGATTACATCGAAAGACCTCCAGAAGCATGGGAACATCTGGGTGTGCCCTGTGTCCGACCATGTCTGCACACGGTTCTTCTTTGTGTAAGTCTAGGAGGGTACTTGGGGGTGTGCTGGTGTCTGACTACTGGAGAGTCTGTTTCTGTTACTTGAGACTTGCCTGTGGCTACCTGAATGCAGCTGGCACTGGGATTTTCATCTTGGAAGCTGGGAATGCCTATAGATCAGGGTCTGTTTAGAGGAAACCAGATAAGTTGAATCTCTTCCTCCCTAAGGAGATCCAAAAAAGGGTTCTTACTTCTGGGATGGGATAGCCCACCTCCAAATACAGTTCTACCAGTTGACATTATTTCTGATATTATTCTCTTTCTTGTGCTCACCCTTGCCCTATCTTTGGCAGATATGAGGATGGTCAGGTGGGCGATGCCAACATTAATACTCAGGACCCCAAGATACAGAAGGAAATCATGCGTGTGATCGGAACTCAGGTTTACACAAACTGAGGGGGCCCCAGCCCTCGTACCACCCCTGTTCCCCCAGGATCGATCTGCCCTTACTAAAGGACTCAGGAGGAGCAGGCAAGGCTGCCCTGAGAAATCAAGGGGCCATTATCAAGGGGCAGGAAGAGACTAGAAGAGGCAGCCTTCACGGTGGAGATTGACCCAGGAACCACTCCACATTTGGATGGACCAGACTGATCCCCTGTCCCTGATTTTCCCAGTTGACTTTACCCTGTTTGTAAATAAAACAATAAAATGGAAGGTGCTGTGGACTGGATATGATCGCTGTGGACTGACTGGCTTTGGACCAGCATCTACCCCAAGCCCCCAAATGGGGGTGGGGCTGGGACGAGTGGAGTATCATGAGGGTTGGGGCTATTTAAGTTGAGAGGAGTCAAAGCTGAGTTCATCTAGTGTAGTGTACTACAGATCTGTCAACATTTTAATCAGTGGGTTAGATTAAGAAGGGAAATTAACAGTTATGCAAATGACACAAACTGAGATGGATTTAGAATCCAACACCAATGATTATGTTTCTCAAGATTTAAAAGGGCCATTGAGGCAAATTAGCTCGGATTTTCTACCTCTGGAAATGAGATCACATTAGGACCTCTGCTTTCTTCACGAAAACCTATCCATTCTTCCTTGCTCTGTACCTCAGAGGGGCTGGGTCCTTACTCTCCTCCCCCCAGCTACTTCTTTGGGATAGGGAGGTGGGGAGTGAACTGGAGGTATAGGAAGTTGGGTCTGTCTCTAACTGGAAATCTATAAAAAGATCCTAAGGAAATGCAGCCTCCCATAATGAAACAAAACCCAGATTCTCCAAGGCCAGCCAGCAAGGTGAGGGAGAACAGCCATTTCTAGATCTAATTGTTTCAGTGAAATCTATCTCCCTTTTGAAATTCCCACTGCCAACCTCTGCTGGCCTTTCAGGTTGTGCTCCATGTACAATACCTAAAACCCAAAGTTAGCTGTAAGAAAGAGGTTGGACTTTGCCAAATAGTTTGAAATATTAATGAAGAAAACAGGAACATAAGCACAGAAATTTTTTTTTTAATGAAAGCATTTAAACAAGCCTGAGTTTTTGAGTACAGGCACACCTTGGAGATAGAACAGGTTCCATTCCAGACCATTGCTGTAAAGCAAGTAGCACAATGGAGCAAGTCGTAACTTTTTGCTGTTGAGGGTATTGACTTCAATTTGTAAAAAATGCAACATCTGTGAATTGCAATAAAGCAACGTGCAATAAAAGGAGGTCTGCCTCCCAATAAATTCATTTCTTTTAAAAAAAAAAAGGTCTGCTTGTATAGGTTAATTGTTACATCTTCTTGATTTACAAAGCCTGTGCTACATCAGCTGTTTTCTGTCATTACCTTCACCCTACTTTGGAGATAACCTTCTTTGCCTGGGTTCCTTACCTGCTTTGTAGTTGCTGACTTGCCTTCAGTTCGAAGTACCATTCTTAAGGTCCATCCCTCTAGGAGCTGTTTCTTTAACTTCTGTACCTGTTCTTGTTCAAGACTACTGTATTGTGACTCTGCAAGTCTCTTAAGGCTCTCTTCCCATTCAGCTTTAAGATCTAGCAGAAATCCTCTTCACTAAGTAAATGACTCCATCAGGGAACCTACCCTAATTGATGTTCAGGACCAGGGATAGCTAACATCTTTTAGTTTTTTACTTGGTAGGTGCTATGCATTATGCTAATCAATTTAATACTTTGCTAATACTTTGGCTTACTATGTGCTTGGCATTATTATAAGCTCTCTACATGTATTGAATAATACAATTCTCACAATAAACTGATAATGTAGTAAGTAGGTGCCATTATTCCCTTTTTGTAGATGAGAAAACAGAGGCACAGAGAATGAGGGATTTGCCCATGTTCCGCAGCTCGTGAATGACTGACTCCAGAACTGCTGTTCTGGTTCTATACTAGGTAGCCTTTCAAGTTTTACAAATCTTTTCATTTAGTCTTGACAACAAAAGCTAGAAGATAGGTTTTCTCTCGAGATTTTAATGTGTCTAAGGCCTCACAGCTGGTTAGTGGTAATGCTGGCTTTAACCAGATCTGCCCGCTCCAGGGCCTGAGCTCTGAGTCATCTTTCACCTCCCCGGAGGCTCTCACACCGCTCCCACTAGTGTTCCAGCAGCTGGACCTAGATGCTTGACTACTCAAATGGTGTAACATTTTTGCTCTATTTCAGAAATTGTCAGTAGATTTTTCTCAGATGTAAGCATTTCTTATAATTTTCCTTTGATCAGTGGCAGATAACATAGTAAGTACAAGTAAATGATGGAAACAGAAGTAATGAACATAGGGTCTATTACCAGAAAAACTCAAACACCTGAGCTAGTCTCATGGATGTCACATTTTTTTTAGAACATACGCATGATGATGGTCCTTTTTTAATGCCAAAAAATGGTAAAGAAGTTAAATACAGCAGGTCCTCAAGTAACATGTCTTTATAACATTAATGGAATTTAATTCTTGTTTATATCAACTAGCCTATGGTAAAATTGATCTAGTTGCATGTTTCACTTAAAGTCATAGAAAGCTACCGAAGACATTGAGGACTTACTGAACCCCCTTCTATAGTTTTCCTTGTAAAAGTAACGGGACTCTGAATCTGAGATGTCTGAAAGCCAGAGGCCAAGGCTGTTACAAATACTGCCCAGAGTGGCCTCCTACCCTTCGTATAGTCCTGGGCTCAGCAGCCCTACTCACTGAGACCTGCTCATGCTTAGGGCTAGGGCAGGGGTGTCTTTCACGGGGGGCTACATCAGCCTCACAGTTGCCTTCAAAGGTCCGAATGTAATTTCAACTCCTAAACAGTTAAGGAGTAGTTACATTTATTTTATTTATTTAGAGAGAGGAGAAGAAGGAGAGAGGGAAAAAAATACCAATATGTGGTTGCCACTCACGTGTCTCCAACTGGGGACCTGGCTTGCAATCCAGGCATGTACCCTGACTGGGAATTGAACCGGCAACCCTTTAGTTCGCAGGCCCACGCTGACTCCACTGAGCTATACCAGGCAGGGCCAGGAGTAGTTACATTTATACAGTCCTAAAATTATTTCTGCCTTTTGAAGGCTCCCACGAGGCTGATGTGGCCCCCTGTGAAAATGAGTTTGACACCCCTGGGCTAGGGCCAGGGACAGGAAAAGAACTATTTTCAATTAGTTCCAGGTGGAGGGTAGATGACTGTGATTTCTGGATTGAGAACTCAAAAACCCTGGGAGTCTAACTTTTTCCTTCCCTGTGATGGTAATTTTCCATCTGTGTAGGGTGTGGCCATGACTCAGTTTGTGGTGAGGATGTAGCCATTCAAAGGGGAGGAGCCTCCTGCTTGATTTTGCCTTTCATTCTGGCCAGTGGGGAGAAGAAGGGAAGTGTTTGGTGCTGAGTCATAACTAGGTTACTTAATAGCTTCTCACAGGATGTATTCTGAGATGGAGGTTTGGAAGATGTCTCAGCTTCTGGGCCCAACTTGAGAGTGGTGGGAAGGAATATTCATCGGTGACAGAATTCCCCCAGAGCCCTCCTCCCAGAAGGGGTAGGAATAAAGGAGGCTTCAATTCATTTGAAGGGGCACCATTCTCTCTGGAGTATAGGACTTTACATAAATATTTCAGAACCCCCCTGCAATGAGACCAAAGATGCTACCCTAAGTTAAAGTATTGCCCACCAAAATCATTTTATCTAAGAGAGAGACCAAGGTCTCCTTAGTGCTAGCTGTCATCATTGGGATAAGTGGGGTCAGGGCAGCAGGTAGCCAGTGAGTAGGGAGGTGGATACTAGAAGCATGGTGCCCAGGTAAAGCAGGCTTGGACTGAACTGCAGCAGGAGGGCTTCCTGGGGAAGGGGACACTTGATTCATTGTTCTCTAATGCCTTTCCTGGTCTCCCAAATCCTGATTACTTTTTGGATATGGGATCTGCTCCCATCTGCATCTTGGGGAGCTCGAGCTCTGGCTACACTTGTAGGAAAAAGGCAGAGAGCACAGGGCCTCCAAAGGAGCGGTTTCGTGGGCAGGATTACCCAGCCCCGAGGAGGGCGGTCCTGTGAGCCCTAGCAGTCCTGGCTGGATGAAGACAGCTCGAGGTTCCCTATGCTGACCAGGACATCTTGGCTGAGGCAGGCCTTCTGCTTCTTCCCTCTGGCTTCTAAGTCCTGATGGGGCATTTCTTCAAGAGGGGGTACCTAGATACACAGTTAAATTCAGAAAACATTCTTTACTGTTCCTTTCCCCTGGAATGGCCTTCCACTACTCATCTCTACCCTAACCAGCCTTCCGTCTCTTCCTCCGTGAAACCTTCCCTTTCCTCAGCAACCTGTTCTCTCTTTATCCTTAACTCCAAAAAGCCAACTTTCTCTTCCATCTAGAATTTTTCTGGAGGGAACTCTGGAATTAAGATTTTGTGCCACTCTGGTAGGCCTGAAGAGATCTTGAGAACCTGAAGGAAGGCATAGAATAAACGTAAGTCTACTTGGTCTGACTCTGGAAAGGCCATATGTATAAAGTCCAAAGTAACAAGCACTTGTGCTTTAAACCTGATATTCAGGGCCTATGCGCTGCCCTGGAAATTCATATTGTCCTAAGAGAAATAACACTGTTGTTTCAGCCAGAGGCCAAGAGGTCACATAACAGTAAAGCCTGTAACCAGGGCCAAAGCTTGTCTTTGGGCTCTAAGATTGGGTCCAGTATCTTTGCTGACAGACCTACCCCACCAGGGATTCCAAATGGCCTTCAAGAGTTAAATCATTAAACTCCAGGTTCTTGGTTCTGTGGCCCAGAATCCAAACAGGTAACACAACAATCTACATCTGCACTCATGCCCCTGTCCAGTGAACCTAGCAGCTACCCCTACTATCCTGCCAGATCACTGAGCACTGTGGAAGGGCTGGCTCTGGGGTGAGGAGCCTGGTCTCTAGGACAGTCTGTCGTTTCTTAGCTTTCCAGTTTCCTGTAGTCCTGTGGTTACTTGTTGCTGAGTCAAGGGAGTGAAGATTCAGGAGGATGGCCAATAGAAAGTTACCTAGATTACCTGGATTCAGGGAGATGTCCAGGCTCCAGTCACAAGGACACCCCTCAGGACTAGTCAACTCCCAAGGGAGGAGGGTGCTTATTGGGCACTGTGCTATACTCATTCACACCCATCATCTGATTAAACCCCACCCTACAAAGTGGGAATTATCTTCAGTTTACTTTTAAGGAAATGGACTCCTCACACATTAAATCAGAGGATAGAGTCACACAGCTAGTGAGTGGAATTGGAACTAAGATACGATGGAACCTAAGCTTTCTTCTACACTACACTGCTTTCCAGCAAAATGACAGTCACCTTAAACTCAATATAACAAATTTTCATTATGCGTCTAATGTGAGCTAGGATATGCTGGATTTGTCTCTGCCCGAGTTTCCTGGACAGCATTTTTGTAACTGTTGGATAATGAATATCTGTAACCAAAAGGCAATAGTTTGCCACCAACTCTCCAGTTTAATAGGTGCACATTTCAATCTTGGAAATACATCTAGATTTAGAGCTTTGAAATGCAACATAGTACAGCATTGACCAGATCATTGCCCCTATCTGACCACCATTCTTCAAGTATTGTCCACCACTGTACTTATTTTATCCTTAGCTCAGGGGCCAGAGAGGGCCATTTTATGCCATTCCTCTTTCTCTGGATAGGAAGAAATATGATTCTCCTTGGTGGAGCATGGCCTTTTTTTTCTCTAGCAACTTCATGTGCTCTCACCACTTCAATAAATAAGCATTTACTTCCTATCTTTAATTAAGGGACCCGAATAGGCTCACAGAAGAAATTAAAAGATTTTATCTCAAACAGAAATTTACTTTCAGACTCGCGTTCTCTCGCCAGCTTATCTAAGCTAAAGGAAAGCATAATGAAGGCCTGTGATTCAGCTGCCGCAGGGTGTCTGCTTGAACGGGTCACACCCATTGGTCTCATTTTCCAGGAAAAGCAAAGAACCTAAAACAGTCTTCATGATTTTTAATGAAGCAACAATGTATCTGCTCTTACAACTTGGCTGAATAAAGGCAAGGGCTACCAGGTGTTTCATTGCTAACTCCTTTTATCACTGGTTCTTGCCTAATTACTGAGAAATTGGAAATGCCTTGGAGAAAATATAAGAAAAACAATATTGATGTAAATACACAAGGTTGAAAACAGAAGTGCTGACTCCTGCAAAGATCATCGGCCCTCACATTCTGACTTGGTATTTCCTGATGGTCAGTTCTGTGCTAATATTAATTCCTTTTATGTTTTCTACTCTCAGGGACCACAACCCTACTCAAGTACTCACATGCCCCAATTTGCCCTTCCTTGCTCCAGTTCTGAGAACACAAGAGCCTCGCCCTCCCGGTCCTTGTACTTTCCGCCCTCCCTAGTTCTCCCTACCCCGACTCCCAAACCCGCGTGCCCCAAAGACCGGCCCGACTTCTAACCATCCCACGAATCTGCATCTTTCCCCATCCTCCTTTTCAGCTCAGTCACCGAGGTGTGCGCAGGGGACCCATGAATCTGGGCACCGCCCCAATAGGCCAAGGCACCTGGGGTCAGCTTGGAGGCGGAGGCACCTTGGGCCGAGGGTCAGGAGCAGAGCTCTTCTCCAGCGTGCCAATTGGCGGCAACAGGTGGCCCGGGGGCCTGGGAGGAAGGTCTACGCGGCTCCAAGGGCGGGTCCGGCCGCCTCGCCGCTTCCCTATTGGCCTCTACTGAGCGTGGTCTGAAATTTTAGACACAGTGTCCTTCCGCCACAGAATGTAGTCCTCCCCGAACAAGGGCAACTTGCCGGCCCGTTCCAGCCTAGAGAATTGACTGCTCCCCGCGAGCACGCAGAGGGGCGGGCCCGGCGAGCGGGGAGCGAGGATTGGGTGGAGGGCGGGGCGGCGGAGGGATTGCGGCTCCCCTGCAGCGGAGATAACCTTGAGGCTGAGACGGCCGCCTCGGCACTGGAGCGACGTCCTCGTAGCCTCCGAACCGCTCTGCAGTAGCTCCAGCCGGACCACGCCGGAGGTGAGCGGGGAGCAGAAGCTGGCTGGCTGTCCGCGCCCTCCTGGGCTCCAGCGCCCGGGCTACAGGGGCACCCCGGCGCCCACTCCGCGGCGGCGCGGCATCCTGGGCATCTTGGACCTGCTCGCGCCCTGGGCCTGTTTTTTCCGAAGTCAGATGGGTCAGCCAGCCCCTCTACTGCCCTACCCCCATTCTGGTCCCATCCTCGCCTCCCTGCATTCCCTCCTGATCTGCTCCCTTCCTCCTTTCTCCCCGCCCGCCACCCTCTCTTGCCCCTGAATCCTTTTCCATTCTAGCCCTCGTCTTCAACCTGCCCGCGTCCCCGTGTTCAGGTGCTTTGCGTGTGATCTCTCCGGGACACTCCTCCGGCTCTCAACCCCTCCCGCCCGCCGTCTCACCGCTTTCAGGTCTGCGCGCCCTCTGCGTGCACACCCCTACCCCGTTTGTGCCCCGGCTGCCGCCCCTCCCCTCCATTCCGGTCACGTTCGCTGCTCTGCATCCTCGCCCTCCGCGCCGCGCGGCCCTCGCCCCTCCCACTCCGTTCCGGTCACGTCCGCCTGCTCCCCCGCCCCCATCTCTGTCCTGTTCCTTTTCCATCACGCCTTCCAGACTAGGGTTCTCCTGGAGCCGACGGGTCCGTGGTCTTAAGTGCAGCGGTCTGCGACGGGCAGGGCTGGCCCAGGTGCGGCTAGGGTGCAGCGGCGGCCCGGGTTACGTAACCCTGGGCCTTCCCCGCAGCAGCGGGAGAAAGGGTGGGCGCTCCTGGGGCGCCCCAGATTCGATGCGGTGGCCGCGGCGCTGCGCCTGCCCCTAGAGCGTCGCCAGACTCCATCCCGCCGTGGTGGGCCCGCACGTAGCGGCCGGCGGCTAGGACCCGCCCCGCGGGACGGTTGGTCTGCACCGAGCCGCTGGTGAGGCTGGACCAGCTGTACCTGGGGCCCCGTGGCGTCGCCTCTGCTTCCAGTTGCTTAACAGATGAGCTCGGGTTGTAGAGCGCTGAATGGAATAGAGCAGGTGTGGGTTTAGTGCCAAGACCGCATTCATTCAGTAAAACTATATGGTAGGAGCTTTGAAGGGAAAGGGATAGAGACCAGGATAAGTAGATCGACCATAGCCCACAGGGCTCACAGTCTCACTCCAGAACGAACAGAGAAGTTATCACTGGTTAGTGCGGTGAGGAAGGTACACGCGTTCTGCTTGGGAAGAGGGGTGGCAGCAGGCCTCACAAGGTTGCATCACACTGGGTCCTGAAGATGCAGGAAATCACTTCTCGGTCTGAAGGTTATTTAAAGACCAGGTCATGGAAAGACACACCCTTGGCTTCTCATCCCTGCTGCTCAAACCCGGAACATCGATCCTCTCCTGGTCAAGGGATCCTGATAGGTGACGACGACCAGAGGTGATGGATAGAGGCATTGGGAAGTTGTCAGCAGGCTTTTAAGATCAGGTTTAATTCATTAATACACTGATAAGGAGGGAATTGAGCCTCAGGACCTCAGTTTCCTAAGTGCAAACAGTAATTTTTCTCATGATTGTCGGAAGGATTGCTTTCTATATATGCACCTACATGTATATATGTTGAATAGGCAGTGCAGTGTCTAATCTCTGGTGAGATGTTAAGAAATGACTCCAAATTTGTTATTAATCACTGAGCAAATTAATACATAATTGAGCATGAGGGCTTATCTTTATGCCATCCCTATACACATACTCATAGCTAATCTTTGGGAGTCTAAATACTAAGTATCTCCTGGAAACCAGTTTCCTCAGGGATCTGGTACATTGTTTACAAAGTAACTAATAATGTTACTTTGAAACTCTCCACTCGCAACAGCGTTTCTTTGGTCCCCTGAGAAAGGGTAAACCTCTGCCAGAGATGTCCAACCTGTGGTCTCTGGGCTGCTTGAAGCCTAGGGTGGCTATGAATTCGGCCCAAAACAAAATCGGAAATTTACTTAGGATATTGTGACGTGTGTGTGTGTGTGTGTGTGTGTGTGTGAGATTATGTGTCACAGTGTATTTAATGTGTGGTCCAAAGCAACTTTTCTTCCATTGTGGCCCAGAGATGCCAAAAGGTTGGACCCGGGAAGGCAAGGGAGTATTTCAATCTTTAGTGTTTGGCTGTAGGAGTAGAAAGAAAGAAACTTGCAACCCCAAGACTGAAATCTTTACATTCCATTCCCGCCTGTCTGAGTTCTTTCTGGGATTTGCTCAGCCTGCTGGTAAGTGTGAAATTAGGATCAGAAGCAGAGGACAGTAGGGCCCTCCTGGCTGTACTGGGGGTGTGGCCACTCCCTAGGATAACTGGAGGGCTTAAGTCAGGACTCCCGCCCTGCAGCATTATTAGCAAATAATTTGCCCTCTGGTTGCTTGAAGGTGCTGCTGGGAATACAGTGGGGCTGTTGGGAGGGGCTGGGTTTTTAAGCCGTCGCCAAGTCTGTGTGGGGGCAGGGGAGGCTCTGTGGGGAAGATGACTCAACCTTTCAACTTATCTGCTTTTGAGAAATTTCTCTTCATTGGGTGAGTGGAAAACTGCATTGTGATCTTTGCGGATTTAAAAAGTCCCTTCACCCCCTGTGAGTCAAACAATGAAGCATGCATTTCCCTCAGTTAAAAATGTCTCAACTAAGTGAAAAGTGGTTGGCCCAGGTCCCCAGGCTCTCTCTGCTGCTTAAAGAGCAGAAGTGCAGGCAGAGCCCTACACCCAGTCTGTGCACCTGTATTCCCAAGTCTTCTGCAGTGGGCATGGCAGCCTTTGGGGATCAGGGCTGTTAGTGGACATGAATAATACCTGAAAGAATGTCCTTGAACTCATTTCTGAGTTACTGGACTTGAGCCAAAATATATGGACATTATAGTCTCTTCCTGTTTATTACAGCTGCTTTTATTTTAAGCACTGCATTAGAATTAAATAAAGTTAGTGTTAAATTTGTAGTTTAACCAAGTGCATTAGTGGATCTTTAAGAAATTCACTGCCCGCCCCCCCGTGATGTGGTAAATTTGGTAGCTGTGATTAAACAGCGAGCACCTTACTGGAGTTAATTTTGTGCGTTGAATGTTGTGACATCAGTGTGGGGTTACAGGAAAAGCCATTTTGTTTCTTAAAGCTGTTTATTTCTTAATGTTATGCAATGAAAGAAAGAAGGAAATGACTGTAAGCAGGAAGGTAGAAAAATGTAACTCTTGTATTGTAAATTCACACTACTTAGGTTTTAATGAATTTTGCTTCAGCTTTTATGAAGGCATACCAAAAGTTATTGTTTTGACCATGAACTGAGCTCAAGGTGGTTTATTGACATTGTTATTTCTGAATCATTCCAAGGATCCATATTCAAATCCCAATTAACTGGCGAGAATCCATATTCAATCTCAGTTAACTGGCACACCACAAGAATGAGTCACCCCTTTGAGCAGAGTTTTCTTGCAAACTTGTGGAGGATCTTGTGAGATGTGTGAGATTTAGTTGGTAAAAGGTCTTATAGCACCTTGAGTCATTACTGAAAGCATGAAAGTCTGGTATAGATAGGGATAGAGCTTAATGAAAACCATTCTTAATGCCACCGTACTTTCTGGGAACTTGCATTTTTCTCCAAGAGCCAGCTTTAGACTAGATAAATGAATAATCTTATTCTTCAGAGCTTTGTCAAAGAAGCTGTTTCGGGGAGAGGTGAGCCGAAGTGGGTGGTGGGTAGTGGTGTGTAACCTCTGCCAGGCCGTGTGGCCTTCTGATTCGACTGCTCAGCTCAAAGAGGTTGGCTGGGCCACCAAGCAGTGCTGCCCCGCCCCTGCCGTGGTTTGTGCCAGTCTGCACGTAGGAGAGCCGAGCTGTAGTACTGCTGGTGGCCTCTGAGACTAGCCTCCCCCAATCCTGACTGTAGGCAAAGCCCCTGGGGAGCTCTAAGCCTCCGTGTCCTGACGTCAGCGAGCTGTGTTTGGAAGGCTGGCCAGGCCGAGTGGGGTGAGGCCTAGACCACTGTGACGGGGCAGTGAGGTTACTGGTCACAGCGTCGCAGAGTATGGGGCAGCTTCAGCGATGCAGTCCAAACTTCTTTTTTAGACAGCAGACTCAACAAAAGTTACCATCAGATAGGCAAACATTTTTTTAAATCTAACAGTATAAAGTGTTTTCAACAGGGTGATAAGGCAAGAACTGACATTACTGATTAGTTGTAAGTGGGTTTAACCACTTTGGGGAGCAATTCAGCAATGTTTAGTAAAATAGAATATAAGCACAGCTTGTGGCCCAGAAATTTCATCTCTGGATATTTAGACACTCACACAAGACAGGTAATAGGAGAGTTGTTACAATATTGAAAATTGGTGGAGGGGGGGATTGGTTTAATGAGGGGGAATGGCCAACCAGTGAGGGAATACATAAAGCATATAGCAGTGTGGTAGAACACTATAGGAGTTCTTATGAATTAACTAGATCTATGTCTCAACTGGATAGGTGTTAAATGCGCTGAATGAAAAAGCAAGTTTAATGGTATTTGTACAGTGTACTACTTAGGGCATTTTCCAGGACAGCAGTATTAAAGGGGCTCAGTATAGACATGGGCACTTAAATGAACTGGAAGGATATGGGATGCGTGACAGTGGTGGGTGTCAGTGTTTTTGATGGGGTGTGGAGGGGCTGAAGGGGCCTGGAGATGGGGAAAAAATAACCATAAAATTGTAATTTTCTTTTAAGTCTAAAAAAATCTGGTTAAATGTTAGTGGTCAGTTCTGGGTGGTAGAAATACAGGTGTTAATATTTCTTTAGTTCAAAACAAAACAGAAGCAAACCTGTGAAGCCACTGTGGGAAGACCAGTCACACTATCGGGGTCAGTGCTCCTGGTGAGCTGGCATCACCCTCCTTTCATGCCTCCTTTCTCTCCCACCAGCTGTGATGCAGGGTGGCTCCCCCTTTAAATGCCAAGGGCGCAGCCCAGCCTGGCTGTGCCTGCCTTGGGAGGTCCCTAAACCAAAATGTGAATACCATGCCTAGGAGCACTGCCTCATT